TATTAACCCTAAATTATTTCATTGGTAATGACTTTAGACTATTATTGAAAATTGATTTTAAGCAGATTTTATTTTTAGCTGCCATGAGATAGGAAAAATTAAATTTTCATGTGTGCGAAGGAATGTCATATACGAATCAATTATTTATTGGCACTCCAAGCATTTTATTAATGGAAGCCAATTTCTTTTATATACAGAGAGAGATACAATTTTAATAAAAGGGCTTTCTAAAATGTATGTTCTTAGCTTTTATATTACATATTTTATATTGTTAGAACTATAATATTTCTAGTACGCAAAAAATAAACAATATACATTAATTATTGCGCGCTAATCAACGGTTTAATAATGTATTCCATTATGTAGCTCACAAATCAAGCCGATCATCTGGTCTTGAACCTGACAAAATTAGATTATTTGCTTTGGCCAGGCAGGGGATATAAATACAGCGGGCGGTACAAGTGTCAACCCACATTGCCGACAATAATGGCCAAGGCCTGGGTTTTGACCAAGTCCGCCTCTTGGCTTTTACCACTCTGGGGAATAAAGTAAGGCCACCTGTGTCTACTCCTTCTGTCATTCTGCATACGTCTGTTTGTGTGTGTCTGTCAAACTTCATTTGAATACTATGACGATGTATTATTGACATTGTGTACATGTTTTAATTTGGCATTTGCCGCCGGCCCCGATTCCCCGCCCCACGCCCTCCGCCACCTGCTATTAATTCAAGGAGGAACGGCGAAAAAAAACAAAAACCAACAACAGAAATAAATAAATAAAAATAAAAGCGGTTTGTGCTTGACGTCACAGTGACGTCATTTGGAATCGACAGCATATACAATGCATAAACATTCATTAAATCATTCTATTTCAAAGTGTCTAAGCAAGTCCAAGCGCCGCCTTGTCAGAAACAGGTTCTTACTTTCGAAGCCCCCACGTGAGCACTTAAAATTTGTGAATTTTTCATTGGAAGTCAGTGATTTGATTACATTTTTAACTCTAACTAATAAAAAATTAATTATTATTATTTAGAAATAGAAATCAAAAATTGTTAGTCTTTTTGAGCATAGTTGCTCATATTCTTAAGCTGTCATTCTGTTGGTTTTCCATTGAAATTTTCAATTTATTGATTGAATTTTTCAAATGCAACTTACTATTTGCATTTGCTGCTGCACAAACATTTCGTGCATTTGTTCCATTTCCAAGAAATACATGTATTTATCATGCACACACATTAAAAGTGTACGTTTTAAAATATTTTTGAACTATTTTTTATTACTAGCTTTGCTTTGGATTCCGATCCCGTTGCATGTTTACATTTCATTCGAATTCGCAATGCTCTTAATTTAGTTTTATTTCTTGCCATTTGCATTAATTGCTAGCGACGGCCGGCGCTTTTAATTGATTTTTCAACACAAAGTGCATGCGATTTTAATGTAAATAAACTTGAGGCATTTTATTTTCGTTTCGGCCGCTGGCTGCGCTCGTTTTTTTATATTTATTATTATTATTTTTGCGCATTATTACTATTATTATTTTTTGGCACAAGGTTGGCGATTGCGTAAAAAGCTTGTTGTTTGCTGTTGTTGCGGTTTTATGAATGGCTGTTGGTCGAGTTCGCCGGTCAAGTCGTTTGGATATCTGGCGGCTCTTTCGCTGTGTAATGCATAAACAAATAGACAGACAACGTGTCGTAATTGCAGCTGATACAGAAAGCCAAAAAGAAACACACGTCCGATTCGTGTAAATCTCCGCCTTCCTAATCGAACTGCAAACAAGTCGAACGGGGGGCAAATAGTTTTCAGAAATCGATCGTCTATCTGTTTTTTTTTAATTTTGCATGCGCTTGCTAACGAATTTATCAATCAACGAATTTGTTTTTTTGCTCCGGTCTTGATGAAAATATGCCATCATAAATGCAATGGTATCACGTAAACCTTTTGTCCATCAGAGCGGTATTGAAATTTCCATTTCCCCTAATGACACAAAGTTCTCAAAGTTCTAAAATCGATACACTTCAAGGCTGTGTGCTGGCATTCGGATGCCATTAGAAATGGAACTCAAATTGCAGGGGATTGAGCATTTAAGAGTAATTAAAACCAATGTGGCCGACGACTTTAAGTTTTGATCTCTTTTCATGTCGCATTAAAAGTTGCCCAAGCCAATGAATGCTTTTAGTTATAAATTAAATATAATGGTGCATCAGCTCTCGAAATCAGACCCGTTGGCAGGAGGGAAGCCAGTCGAGAGCCCGAAGAAGACCTGGCCTGGCCGTTAAGTAAATGTCAGGTCACCGGACCTGTCCAAAAGGCCCAGCCGAGGACGACAGCTAAACCAACATTGCAGATGACGACAGAAACAGGGGCAGAAGTCCCTTTTGTGCTGCCAAATAGGGGTCATAAATAGCTACATTTATTATTAAAAGCAGCTCGAAACTTATAGTTGATACGTATGGGGGTAAAAAAGCTATGTAGGTTTGGAAACAGAATCTTTTTATCGGGAAATCCGCGGCAAAAACATTTTAGTTATAGAATTTGGTTCAAAAAAAAAAAGAGTTTAGTTTTTTAGAGAGATTATCCATTAACTAATTTCAACCTTTACTTTGATGTAGAAAAATTTGTGACAAAGATGCAAAAGGTTCTACACTCCATACTTTTCTAAACCCAAGATATGTATGCGACATACGTCCTTTCAGTTGGAATTACTTCGATTTGGCTAAAATAAAGCTATGTTGGCTGACACTCTTGCAGATGATGGCAACGATGAGGAATGACGAGAACGACACTCAGCCGAGTTCAGCTGAGCTGAGCTGAGTTGACATGCATATGCAAAAATTTTGAAAATGCTTTATTTACCCGGGTCGGCGAGCGAATAAAAATGGAACTCATATAACTGAGTCAATATTTGCTCGAAGTTTTTCCCCGTGCCAACACCCACGCTTCATTGTTGCCTTTCTGTTTTGTATTTCTTGGTTTTTTGCTAACCGAAAGAACTGCAAATTGACCAGAAGACAACGGTGACGTGTGCGCCCATTCAAAGCTGGTTTTGCAAATTGCTTTACTTGCTTTATATGTTCAAATGTTCAATTCTGCGATAGTTATCAAATGAAAAAAATACATTTTCACAACTTTTGGGTTCACAACATTTGTTTTTACAAAATCTCTTTTAACAAAATGGCTCGAATTTTGAGATGAGGCTTTTTTTGAGTAATTGCAGGGTAATCGCCAAGTCGACGCCTTTGGTAGCCTGAAGATATGACATTCCTTACGATTCTGCGGTGTGTCTGTGTGTACCTGTGTGTTGAATCGGCTTAATGCAAATGCTCAATCATTTCGCGCCGTCGGGCATTCTGTTCCTAATTTGATGTACGACAAATGTGCCAAAAGTTGTCAGACACATAAAAAACAAAAAGGAAAGACGCGAAACGCAAAACTCACAGGTAGCCAAACAAATATAGGGGGAGTATTCGACTAACAGTGTTGTGTCAGAATTTATGAGCTCATAAACATTTCAGGAGCAATTCGTGATGACGTCGCCATTTCTTACTGCCCAGGACTTTGCCCAAGTAGAATTTGGGATAAATTGTAAATGCCCAATGGCAAATGCCAGGTGTGAGTTTGAAAATACTCCGGAATGGGGAACAGGAAACTTTCTTTCTCCCTTCAAGTGCCCTACAAACTTGCCAAGTGCAATGGAAAAATAACAGAAAAGCAGACGACGATGGACAGAAAAACATAACAAACTAAATTTAAAGTGCAACAGAAACTTTTGCTCTACCCTCGACTCGGAAAAAATATGTTGCTAACAAGTTTTCTTTTTGTTGCTAATCGCCTCTTGCCACGCCCCCAGCTCCTATTATAGGCGTCCTCGCTGGCAAATTACCTAGGCAAAAGTTATGTATATGTAAGCCCAAGAATCAACAACGGTCGTTTGTTGTTGCATAGAACAAATGTTGTGTATCTGTGTTTGGAGAAAATGTCAACGGTGTAACAAAAGGCACCAAACTTTGCACATGTGAAAGCAAGGAGAACAGATGTTTAAAAATTTATAACAATAAATAACACGTTTAAGTGCAGTACACCCGAAAGGATCCAACCAAACTTCGTTCTACCATAAAAAACCAAGGCGACACCTTTAAAGGGATTATTTACTTTTTATTACCATTAATGTAGTGTTAAAGATTAAGTGTTAAGGTTTTTATTACCCTGCAAAAGATGTTTAGAATTGGCGGATTTGGCTGGATTTACTTGCATTCTAAATAATAAATATAACCAGATGGCAACTAAACACATGAGAAATACTTACAGATTGTTTAACGCGCTGGATTAGAAAGGAGGGGTCTAATTACTATGTTGTACCTTATGATATTCGTCGTTAAATAATTTGGCTTTTTTAAGTATTGAAAATACTTATGTGTGTATCAAATGAACTGCGTACCAAGCAAGCCGCTATGCAATTATACCGAAAGCTAGTTTAAAAGAATTTGAATGGTTAAATAATCTAATATCTCTTGATAAGAAACATCTAAAGTTATAAGATTAAATAACTGATAGACCCCTCGAAGTGCAAACACTTTACCGAATCAAGTGAGTAATACCAGAAAGAACAATAAGCACTAAAATGTTTGCACAATGAATAAAGTGAATGAAAAATTATTTGTGTGCTCAAGACTGATAAATTCAATAAAAAAAATGCGATTTGCTACAAAAAAAGCAAACTCATCCGAAGTCAGAAAACACTTAAAGATAGCAGTTCGGTGAAACGATGCCAGTTAATAATTTCTTTGAGGAAAATTGCAACCAACTGCTGCTGAATGAATGTCAATTCATTTGAATGAGCGAGCACGTCAATAAAGTGCTTCTTGTATATGTATAGATATATGTATAGTATAGCCATACCATAGTCTATCTATGACATAATTTGTGGTGAATAGTGAGTTGGTCGTCTTATCAACTGGGGCGATAAAATTGTTCAAGTTCCAGGGAATTGTGTAAACTCACCTTTGCCTCGAAATGGAAACAGACGATTTGCTGACGATTGGGTAACTGAAAGCGAGTAGCACAAAAATAGAATTAACAATTGGTACAATAAGTGTTTTGGGTAAGTGGGTGTACATGAAATCGATTTTGCCTTTATTGTGCTGTTTTTTATTATTATTTATGGCAATCTTTCATAACAACAGTGAAGCGCTGAAATCGCGGCAGACCACCCAGGATTAAGCTTTAACAAAAATTCCTGGAAACTGGATGGCTCTCTGATTTCATTCCCTCCTTTGTCCCTTCACACCCGTTCTGCTGCGCATTATTGTTAATGAATTCTACACGTATGGCGGGGACCTCGACTGGGATTCCATTGGATTCGGTCTGCAACCTGGAGTAAAGCTTGTTCTGCCGTCCAGTTTTTGCATAAATATGTGTCTATACCCTCTTCACCGGCTATGACCAAGATCTTTATTACTGACCAATACATTTATGGCTGACCAAGATCTTTGTCTGGTGGGAAAAGTCACTGGGACAATATTATAATTTAAAATTTAACCACCAACGATTACGAAAATGGCATTTTAAACTGGTTCGGTAAAGTTCAAGGTCTTAACCCATATGTTATTTAAATTAAATACAAATCAGGTTATTTAAATTTGGGTATGCAACCCATAAAGCCAGTTGAAAGCTGCTTCCTATTTGGCTTAAATCCTGTGTAAATTTAATCGATCGCTCTCTTAAGTTTAAAATTAAAAAAAATGCTTATAGCAGGGGTTTTAATATTATTTTTTGAATTAAAAATAATAGTTGGAAAGTGTTTTTGAAAATTAAATAATTAAATATTTTTTCATTAAGTGGAAGGGTGTGATATCCTTCGACTACTGTTGGCGAATTTCATTTAACTCCTGCTCCGCCCTTTTCGTTTCATTTGGCGCTGTTGCCAAGTAGCCAAACTTGGCCGAGAAGACAAATTCAAGGTGTTGGCCACGTTGCGTTGCCGCTTGTTCGCATCTACAGCTGCTGCCTTTGCTTTTTCGTTATGGGTTTGCTTTGGCTTTGTCTGTTTTTGTGTTCTAAAGGAAGGGTCAATGCACAAGTGATTGGTTTTTAAGTGCAAGAGACGCCGACAACGATTTACCTTTTTTCGCTTTGCTGTTTGGGCTGGAAAGTTTCAATGACACTTTGCATAATTTTCTGGAATTCTCTGTGTACAGGTTGATGGATCATGATATCCTATTTGTGTGTTGACACAAGCGCAGCCCCCGGAAAAATGCAATTTCTGGACCTCCCTCAAAAAGCCGGCCAGCAAAAGCGGATAGAGTTGAAAACGGCAAAGCAGAGCTTCCTGATAAAATGGCAAAGTTTAAAGGTTGATGCGACAAAGTGGTAATGGCACTCAGTCAAAGCAAGGTGGGCAGGCTGGGAAAGGAGCGGGAGCGAGGTCGACAAGGGTTTGTCTTTAATCAAAACTGAAAAATAAAGAGACAACAAAAGCGTTGGAGCGGTATAAGCCGAAACAATTTTGGGCACAGGAAGAGAGACCAGAAAAATGTCAAAAGAAAACTTCTTTTCTTGGCCTATGTGTACTTTACGAGTTTTTTTTTTATTTGTCAAAGTTTTGGAGGAGGGGCAGCGGTTATTTTGGGGGCGGTTGTGAATGTAAAACGTTTTCCAACAGACAAGAGCAAATAACATAGCCCCCAGCCAAATATTCCGAAAAAAACAGAGCCGGAGGAGCAGAAAACCTACTCGATATGGAAGCTCCTTGGAACGAAAGTTTATCAAGGTCATTACGCCAGGTTGGCTTCTGTTTGCTCCATCGCCCACCTGTCATCCTTGTCTTGTTGATTAGCACCAGGAATTTCTGTTTCTTCTTATCAAATCGACGGAGCCTGGGCAGGTGGGCTCAGATGTTCGTCTTCAATGCGCTTCGCCTATAAAAGTGGAATAAATAAGCCCTTGGAAAGTGGAGGAAAGAGAGGCCATTATGAATTAATTCTACTCTGCTGAGAAGAGGGAATTGATGTACTATAAAATTAAGCAGATTCGATTGAATTTAGATTGGAAATACTACAATAAAACAATCTTGCAATTTTTAAAAGACTTTTTACAGTTTATTTGATTACCCGTACCAGAATAGATACAAAATTATAACCAATATCGAAAACCTAAGCGAATATGATATATATAAAAACCTTTAGATCAAAGACTTTGAGTTCCCTGGATTTAATGTATTTTCGAGACCTAATAGTGTACTTAAGAGGTAAATTTACCAAAAACTGTATTTATATACAAGCCCATTATAAATTATCTATACAAAGGAGCATCCTTTTCATCCATTTTAAATTAAGCAAAGCAGCCACCATCATTAAATTGCTTTTTACTTGGAGTGATTCTATTAAATTTGCATGCCCTTAAGATACTTCTTCCTTTGGAAACTAATAAGGCCGTGTGCCCTAGCCCATTTACACTCATCCCTCTTTCACTTTTCCGACATATTCCACAAAACTTTTCTCACATTTCATTTCAACTTTTTCCACACGCACAAGGAACTTCAACTGCAAGTTCTAATTGAATTTAGTTTTATTAGGGAACATAAAAGAAAAAAAGCAGGGCTGGGAAAAATTGAAACCTCTTGAGCGTTTTCAGTTTTCACTGCCTCGAAAAATGGTAAGGATAATTGCCTTTCTTAAAGACAAGGAAATTCCCATGTTCTCAATCAAGGGGTGCTGGATTAATTATATTGAACAAGGGGACCTTAGCTCTTTATAAAAGTAAAAGCCACAGGAAAAACAGGCACCAAAACTTGTTAAGCCGATTTTGGGGCAAGTCAAGAGAGTGAACAAAGGCGGCGACCACAAAAAATTGATTTAAGCTGATTTTCGGGGCATTTCTGTTTTCTGTTTTTTTTCTAGGGACTTCCATATTGACCAAAGACCACGCCCATTTTGGCCTGCGTGCGGAGGCGTTCGGGGCAATTAATATCAATTCCCGTTGGGCCATTAACACGAGCCAAAAACATATTGGCTAACAAGTGTCAAAGTCGCGCCAAATTAGCGCAGAAAGCGACGATGATGATGGCATGTGGGCGTGGCCAGGATTTGGATCCAACCAGCGGGTTGGGTTGCAGTCCAGGCGATGATATCCTGCCAAGGGAAGAGCAGCATGTGGCCAACCCTCCTCGCACTAAATGGGGTTCGTTGTTTGGGTCCTGCCCTCATTGATAATAATATTCGATTGGGGTTTATTTGCCCATGGGGTTGGAACTGATGGTTTATTATTGTCTGGGCACAGCATATACAGGATACACATGTTTCTGTCAATTGCCTACGTCACCCAAAGGGAATGGGTTGCGGGTTCGGGTTCGAGTTCAAGTTTGAGTCGATAAACTGTGACGCAAACCGCTCGAAACAATAGTTTCGACCTGACAGTTGAAAAGGGCGCCACATGGGGTCACACATCAGAGATGTTGGACTTTAGCCATCTGCAGTTCTTCTGTAAATGACACATTGACTTCTCCGATGAAAAGCGGAAACGTTTATCAGCAAAATGTCGAGCTCGTCTTAATTATGCAGCCGGCGATTCTGGAACAATCAGGGACACCCGGCTGCCAATGACGTCCCACAGAAAAAACAACTAGAAATTCAAAGGCGATAAGAAAAATAAATCGAAATCATGGCGAGGGTCACCCTTGAAAAATGCGGTGAAAAGTTTTGCTTTCGGAAAAAACTATTTTTAATGGGTCTCATTTGTCAGCTGCAAATGCAAACGGGAATTTATTACCCTGCCGGGAACGAAGCTGATTTATGGTGATTTCAAAATGGTTTCTCTAATTGGTTTGAGTTCTTAGTTTGATGTTTTTGCTATAAAAATACAGATTTTTAAAATGCGAGCAACGCAAGCAGATTGGTTTTTTTTAGGTTGGGGGTTAATAATATTCTAGAAAAAGAAGGGTAAATAAACTCTGGTTTTTTATTTAAAATAATTAATGTAACTTTTTACTTAACTTGCTTAAAAATATAAGTATTCTAAGGAACAGAGACTATATATAAAAATTACGAATTTTGAACGCAATTTATCCCACTAAGATGCTTTGTTTACATTAGTCACTAAACTTTCTAATATTTTTTCATGTGAGCAATAATCATGAAATTTTTAAAATATGAATCAGAATAAGGGGAAGATTACAAAACATCTAAATGAATTAAAACAAATTTTTTATAACTTGGTTATCAATCTCTATTATTTTGGGGGATTTTATAACTGAAATTTTTTCAGAATTGGATCAGGGTTAAAACGAAACTGGCATATTGATTAATTAATTAATATTATAGTAAATAAATAATTTCAGTTTTATATATTTATCGATCGGCCCTTTTTGGGTGTCAAAGGTGAGGCAACAAAGTGACAATAAATAATAAGAATTTTCATTATGTATATTGTGCATTTGTTTGTTTGGTCTGCATATGTATGTACTGCAAGCAAACAGTAAGAAGAAGAACCATTGATAAGCATTTCCGAGTGCTTTCACTTTTAAATCGATTGGCAGTAGGGAAAAGGGATTGCGCGAGTCCTGTGGCATTAATGCAATTAATTAGGCAAGAGAGACAACGCAAACGTGTGTGTAAATAAGTACTGTAAGTACTTAAGCGCAACAGAGGGAGACAGCTAATGAGGTGTGACAGTAATGAGAAAAAAGGGTGATTTTAACCTGATTAATTAGACTCACCTGATTGTTATATGTTCTATTTTAACTGCTTTATATGCCTTTTCTATGGATTTGAATTTTCGCAACTGATCTGCGGATTCTGATAAGAAAGCGGTCGTTGATAAGACCCTTCTTTATCTCCCTCTCTCTCTCTTTGTCTCTCTTTTGCACACTACGGCAATCGCAGCATAAACAATTTCAAAAAAGAAGAAGCAGCGACACGCCTAGTGGTCAATTTTCCGGCTATTCCTTTAAGAAATCTGCGTTTTTTTTGTTTTCTGCCTCTATTAGACCTTGCTTTTTTGGCTTTGCACGAGAAATACTCTTTGATTTTTTGTTTTTCTTTTCAATTTGACCGCATTTGTCGATTTTGGTTTTCTTTTCTCTTGTTTTTGTTGTTGCGGCTCTCACCAAAACTTACACACATACAAGTGTGCTCTCACACTCACACACACACACACAACTACACACGCGGCGTTTCGCTGACAGAAAGAATGCGAGGAAAATACGGCGATAGATTTTAAGATTTTATTTGGAGCGGCCCGGAAAACAATCAACTTTGGTCAGGTTTTCGGATTGGCTGCGTTCTAAGAGCGGTACACGACGGCGATACAATTGGGCTTTTTGCACAAGCGATTGAATTGATCCGCGAAATGTCTGCTTTCGGAAAAATATGAGTACGGTGTGACCGACCTCCAAAGAGTGATAAAATCATACAATTGCTTATTATGTATAACGAAAATATGAGTATTTATCGATAACATGTTTAGCCGGGACTTGAACCAGGGAGTTGAACTTTACGGCAATTCGATTTTGCAAACAATATTTAAAAATATTTACGTAAATTATAAATGGCTTCTACGTTTTTAAACATTATTAAAGTTTTTAAACGTAGCAATATTTTCCTGAAAAATAAATAAGCCAGAAAAAGAAAAGTTTTATTTATGACACACTGACTTAAATAAATTAATTTATTGTAAGAATTAGTAACTTTGTTTATAAATTTAATACTTATTTAATAAGTTTAAAGGCGAACTTTATATAAGCAATTTTTTTAGCTAGCTATTTTTTTGTAATGATATGTGGCAACGCCACCCGCACACATGTTGGACACACTACCTTAATTTAAAAAGGCATTTTATTTCTAAGAAATGTTTTTAATAAACTTTAAATTAATTTGATTTTTATTAAATCGCATAAAAAATTGCCAATTCAAAAGTTTCGAAAGTAAATATATATTTTTAATATTTACCCTGTAGAGGGTACTGAACAACGCCTTAGCCGGAATTAACCGGCACTTTTAGGTAATGGCCATGATTTTTACTAGAAAAACGCTGAAGCTGCTCAATTATCGCCTGAGATGCCTAAGTTCTTCAAGTTCCAGTCCAAAAAGAAGAATCCAGAGCAGTTCCGCCGGAGAAGCGCCCTCCGTGGAGGTGAACTTCAGCAATGGGTGAGTACGTGCCCTCCACCTCGAGTCCAGACTTTGCAAATTACCCAATCCTCCGCAGACGTAACATGACCTTCAGCTCCGGCCGCCTGGCGAGATTTGCCAATGGTACTGCCGTTTGCCAAATGGGCGACACCGCTGTAATGGTCACCGCAGTGGCAAAATCGAAGCCCAATCCTGGCCAGGGATTTATGCCCTTAGTGGTCGACTACAGGCTTAAGAACGCCGCCTCCGGAAGGATACCCATGAACTTTATGCGTCGTGAACTGGGTCCCTCGGAGAAGGAGATTCTGTCCGCCCGCCTGATTGACCGCTCACTGCGTCCACTGTTTCACAAAGATTACCGGACGGAGACCCAACTGGTGTGCAATATGCTGGCCATGGATGCGGTTCACAGTCCTGATATCTTGGCCATAAATGCGGCTTCAATGGCTCTGTCCATAAGTGACATTCCCTGGAACGGACCCATAGGAGCAGTGCGGTAAGTAATTGTATAGACTCAAAGTTAGAAAGTAACGAATTCCCACTTTAATCTCCTCCAGCGTTGGCCTTTGCGACGGCGAGGTGCTGATCAATCCAACCCGCCGGGAGCTGCAGTCATCTCAGCTCGATTTGGTAGTCTCCGCCACCAAACAAAACCTCGTGGTCATGCTGGAGGGCAAGGGTAATGTAGTGCTCCAACAGGACCTCCTTAAGGCCATTAAACAAGGCACACGGGAAGCCCAGTTCATCATCCATGAAATCGAGCGGCTTCAGAAGGCCTACGGCAGGCAAAAACGCGAAGTGGAATCGGCATCTCAGGTGGATCCCGAACTGGAGCAGGCAGTGAAGAGCATGTGCGAGATGCGGCTAAGGGAAATCTTCCAGGATGCGCAGCACGACAAGATCTCACGGGATAACGCGGTGAACGAGGTGCGGTCTAACGTGATCGACAAGGTGTGGAGTTCCTTCCCGGACACAGAACCATCGCAAATTGGCGAGCAGTTTAATCAGGCCTGCAGAGCCATCTTCCGTGAGCTAATCTTCGAGCGGGGACTGCGTTGCGATGGACGGGACTTCGATCAATTGAGGAACATTTCCTGCCAGGTAGACATGTACAAGCCGCTCCACGGGTCCGCCTTATTCCAGCGAGGTCAGACGCAGGTCTTCTGCACAGTTAGTTTGGACTCGCCGGAAAGCGCTATGAAGCTCGACTCGCTGGCTGCCTTAGAAAGCGGTGGCCTCAAGGCCAAGAACTTTATGCTCCACTACGAGTTTCCACCATACGCAACGGGTGAGGTGGGTCGGATTGGCCCAGTGGGTCGTCGGGAACTGGGACATGGAGCTTTGGCGGAAAAATCCCTGCTACCCACTCTGCCTAATGACTACCCCTTCACTGTGAGACTCACCTCCGAAGTTCTAGAATCCAATGGCAGCAGCAGCATGGCCAGCGTTTGTGGTGGATCCCTGGCTTTAATGGACGCCGGAGTTCCAGTAAGTGCTCCGGCAGCAGGAGTGGCCATTGGCCTGGTGACCAAGTTCGAGAACGAGGACACCAAGCATCTGAAGGACTACCGCATCCTCACCGACATTCTGGGCATCGAGGACTACATGGGCGACATGGACATGAAGGTGGCGGGTACCCGGAAGGGCTTCACAGCCATCCAGGCTGATCTTAAGATCCCGGGCATTCCTCTGAAGGTTGTGATGGAATCGCTGCAGAAGGCCACCGATGCCAAGTCCAAGATACTGGACATCATGGGGGACGCTATCAGGGAGCCGCGGTGAGTATAACTTTAACATTAAGTATTAACTCAATATCTTATCCCACAATCATCATTCATCGATCTTCCAGCAAATACCCCAAGGAAAGCTGGCCAGTAAGTGAAACCCTTACCGTGGAGCCTCAGCAGCGAGCGCAGTTGATCGGTCCCAGTGGTCTTCACATGAAGCGCATTTACCTAGAGACGGGCGCGTCTCTCACGGCTGCCGATGAGACACACTTCAACGTATTTGCCCCTTCTCAAGCGGCCATGGACGAGGCCAAGGAGCTGATCGAGGGTTACATGGTGAAGGAGCGAGTGCCGGACTTGGAGTTCGGCGGAATCTACACTGCCAAAATCACAGAGATGCGGGACACTGGAGTAATGGTGATCCTGTACCCCAGTATGCCGCCCGCTCTGCTGCACAACTCACAGCTAGATCAGCGCAAGATCGCGCATCCATCAGCCTTGAACCTGGAAGTGGGTCAGGAGATCCAGGTGAAGTACTTCGGCCGCGATCCCGTCTCCGGCTTCATGCGACTCTCGCGAAAGGTTCTCCAAGGACCTGCCCTGGGAATCCCGCGCTCACTCAACAAATCTGCCGGAGAGAACGGAGCGTGAGATATGGAGACACTTGTACAGTTCTCGTTTGTTATGTTTCCCCTGCGGGAAGACACATTCAACACATGCAACTTTATTGTATGCTTAATATTTCGTGTTTAAAACTTGTACGTATATAAAATATGGATGAAGACTTGAATCTTTGACCGTCTTCTGTAGACATTGGTTATGCTATTGCTGAATAACAAACCAGGATTGTGGGAGTTTTTAATTTCCAGCTCTTTTTCTTTCAACTTAAGTTAAAGTCTCTATATGCAAGTATACTCCTTTGAAGTCTGATACTTAAAGTCTTTGACCAATCTATGTTGTTAAAATATATTTCTACAATTTGAATTAGCATTTTTAGTTTTTAACTATTCCTCAGTAAGGGTTTTTACTTTTAACCAAGTAAGATATTATCTATGAGCTTATAAATTAGAACTCTCATTACAAAGACATTACATGAATTGGCAGAATATGGTTCCTTCTATCAGAACGGTAAAATCTCATAAATTCCGGTTCCAAGCAATTCGATGTACTTATAGAAACGAATTTTGATTCGAAAAATGGCATCGGAGAATACAACTAATAAGTAGAATTTTGGCCAGAAATAATTTGTGACACTAGAAAATTTAACCTAGGGGCGTATCTACTAAGTAGTCTCGCCGATTCTAAGCATTTGGTGTGGGTTAGATGATGACGCGGTAGTAGGAATCGGAAATGCTGTACAAGGCCACTATTGGAGTCTTGGCATCGCTCAGATAGTCCTCAACCTCGTCGTTTATCTCGGATATATAGCGTTTGTATTTCGGAAATCTTTAATTCGATAAAGCCCGTTATAAATTGGAACAAAATTAAGAGGTACAAAAACTTACCGCTCGATCACAAAATTGATTTCCAGTTCAGTCTCTTTTTTTCGTATTTCTCGGGGATTAATGGCACCCACAATGGCATTTACAACCGCCGGCGGCAACTCCACCACCACCACCACAAACGTCTCCTTTTTAAGGAACTGGGCTAGAGTGGAGCCCATCTGCTGGGCCACTTGGTTCTCCAGACGCCTCTTGTAATTTGCCGTTGGCTTGTCGTGTGTAAGGAACGTGACCTGTAGATTCGGCAACTGGCTGTAGCTGTTCTTGATTGTGGCATTCGAGGCGGATGTGCTAAGTCCGTTCTCGCCTCGCTCCCTTTCCCGGCCACCACTGCTCCTGTTGTCGCCAGTACTCAAGTTGGACAATTGACTGGAGTTGTCCACCGTAGTCGCTTCTGTCCTCAGCAGCTTTTCGATAAACTCCACCAGTTCGGCTCTCGTTAGATGCCGCTCCTGGAAACGTTCCCTCTCAAAAGACCTTACTCTCAGTGAGCCATTCTCCGCCACCAGGATGACATGCAGAGCTCCAAGCCGCGCCAAATCCTGTGCCTCGTCCCCTAATTCGCTCGCGGCTTCCACAATGCCACATCGGATGCCCACCGACCAAAGCAGGCGCATAATGTAGGTCACATCTTTGAGCGGCGGACGAGACCCACACACACAAATGCCCACGTCAATGGCCCGGCAATCCTTGGCGTATTCCACACCCACAGCAGCTACCAGTTTGTCCAATGAAAAAGACAAGCCAGCTCCACTCAGAACCCCACGTGTGGACAATGAGGGATTAAAGCTCTGCGCCTGTCTTTGGAATTCGTGCAGCATGGCATCGTATCTCTCACCCACCGCCAGAACCGAAGGATGACCAGAGCGATTGGGTTTCAGGTCAGCCGTCATCTGCCACACGATCCCACCGCTGCTGGCACGATCGAAGCTGATGGGCAGACCAGCCCATATGTGAATGGGGCACTGAAAGAGGATGGGTATAGTGAAAAAGAGGTAACTCAAGGTGTGGCCTGATAAATAACTCACCTTCACACCTAAACTGTAAGCCAATCCCACAACAGTCTCCAGTTCCCTCAAAGCTCCTCTCGCCAGTGAAGCTGCTTCACCCTTTCCGCGCATCAGGGATTTTAAAGCCGAATCATCCACGGTGCTTCTGGATCCAGTTAGCAAAAAGTTGGACAACAACATGTCCATTAAGGTTTGCGCAGAGGTTCTCGATTTTTCCATAATACCCGTGATGCTCGAGTGGAATTGGAAACGGGAGATACGGGATTCGATAAAGTCCATGGTCCCCTCAAAAAGAGCTCCATACTGCGCTTTGGGTACATTGCAGAAAATGAGGATGGCCCTTAGAAGATTCGTGTGGTTCATGCGTATCGTAAGATTCTTTTCACGCAGACGCGGCAGTTCGCTGGTGATCTCAAAGGCCAGCGACAGAAGTTCCGCATCTACCAGGTGACTGCCAGTTGTGGGGGCAATGATGTCAAAGGAGCACTCGTAGCTCTGCTTCGGGTGGAAGTTGAACACCCGCTCCTCGCGATAAACACGGTCCACACAATAGCGCCGAATGAGATTTACCCCGTTCATGGTGACGTGGCGGGCGAACTGGGTGCGCAGGTCGCAGGGCAACACCACCACACAACCCGAGTGAGTCATTAGGTGAACGGCATTCGCGTTCGCATTGGCACTGCTGTTCCTGGCGGACAGTGGCGACAGGAGTGGAGAGTCCACTTCGATGGCTCCATGTTTGCGGAATAGATTCACGACCTTCGCCTTGACGAACTCAATCACGGGATTGAGCGATACTATATCGTCGATTATGATGGCCGAGTTCCAGGATTTCATCGCCCTACTGCTCCCCAAGTGGTAAGTGTGCTCCAAAACCTCGTCGCTCTCCTGTTGGAGGCATCGTGCCACCAGGTTCTTGTATGCCTTGCTCTGTGGATTCGCGAGGGCGTGACGCAGCATCTCCTGCAGCTCATTAGCCTCCAATTGGGCTGGTGGCACTAGGTCCGAGACTAGAAGCTCCTCGGCCGTAGGTCTCTGGGCGGGATCGTGATTGAGCAGCCATTGAAGCATCTGGAAGATAATTCAAGAGTAAAGCACATTGGTATTTCCTTAAGGAAGGTTTAACTTGCCTTCACTGTCTTCTCGTATTTCGGATCCTTAAGCATGGCATCCGGTATGTTAATGGACACATTCCGTAGGGCCATAATGGTTTGAGCCCGCTCCATACTCGTATCGAAAGGAGGTTGGCACATCTCGAACAAAATTATGCCTAGCGTGTACATGTCAACCTTCTGGTTGTATACAGACTTTGAAGCGTTCCCTGTGAGTTCGGGAGCCACGTAGAGTGTGGTGCCCACCTTTCCTGTGCCAGTGCCATCCTCCGCACTAGTTATGTGGTTAACAGGAACTGGTGCCGCATACTCGTGGGCCTGCAAAGCCAGAAAGCTTGTGGTGGCCAGGCCAAAGTCCCCGATCTTTATCTGATCGTGGGAGTCCAAGAAGATGTTTACCGGCTTGAGGTCCCGATGGATGATTCCCTGCTGGTGGATGTGCGAAAGACCCTCGGCGATCTCCCTGAACAGACGCCACAGGCGATCTGTGTCATCAAAGAGATTGTCATCGATGGCGGTGCTGAATATGAATATTTTTTTATATATAGTAAGAAAATATTTTCTTAAACTCACCGCAGTGTGCATTTCTCACAGAATTCCATCTGGATGTACATGACTTGCATCAACGGTCTCGGCGAGTTGGTCTTACCTCGGGTGGAGTCCTCCTTCTCCTCGTCATCGTAGACAGCCACCTTACCATCGGAGTCCACGAATTCGATGCCATCCGAATCTGAATCCTCCATGGTGGGTCTAGGGAGGAGGAATCAGGTATTTATTTTGCTTTACATCGGAAAGAAACGGATTATAATCACATGTAACCATTCCACATGCTGGACGAGCTATCCTCCTCGTCCTCATCCTCCTCCAAAGTGGGACCAAGCTGTGGCGACTTTGCGGGTTTTACGCTGAGCTCCTGTTGACTCTGAGACCACTCTCCACCCAGCAACTTGTCCATCTCCGCAGCATCTGCATCATCTACACTCTCTATCCAACTATTGAAGTATCTCACCACATTCTCGTGATTCAGCCGTGAAAGCAACTCCACCTCCCGCGTCATCTTCTTGTACAGCTGACGACTTCGCGCAGGTAGTGGTATCCGCTTGATGGCGTACTCCCGGTTGTCCAGAATGTTGCGCACCTTCAGCACGTCCCCGAAGGCGCCCTTTCCCAAATACATGAGCACTTCGAACTCGGTTCTCAAGCGGGATTGACTCAAAGCCAGTGTGGGTATCTGATAGGGCATGGCGGGTCCCGTGCGCTGGACAGGAACAGGATGCCGTTGCTGTGGTAATTGCATTAGCTGCTGCTGACCATTGTCGACAAAGAAGCGCAGAAATGGATGCTCCAGCAACTCCGAAGCAGAAAGCGTGCGGTCAGAGTTGCATCTGTATTATACAAAAACAGAATTAGGATTGGAATAACATATTGTTCGGAGATAGTTACTTGTCCACAAAGTCTCGCATCTCGTAGCTGTTGGTGGGCATGAGGCTCTCTACTAAGGCACCTAAGGCGGGCAGGTCCCCGCGACTGCTGCTTTGCCCCGCTCCGCTAAGAAGCTCTAGAAGATTAGGCACCAGCGAAAAGTCCGAGACGCGCACGTTTCCCGTGTTGTCCATAAAAACGGTGCTGTCTAGCAAAAGGCTGTGGGATACGCCCTTGTTGTGCAGGAAAATTAGAGCATCTAGCACACCACGGGTCACTGCTCGTGCGCCATCCAAATCCATGCACCAACCCAGCGAGGAGGAAATGCTGAATACACTAGTGCCGAGGAGGAAATCCTGGACCAGGTACACGAGTAATCCTTCCTTACGTTTGATGCAGAGAACGCATTCATACGAGACGAGGTTTTTGTGCTGAAGTTGGGCCAACGCGGCAACCTGCTTCTCAATAGAGGCGATAACGTCGTCCACACGATGACTGCCCACGCACTTCGACTCGTTGCCCCAGTGACACTTTCCGCCGCCGATGCAGGGTTGCTCCAGTTGGCTGTACTTGATGTTCCACTCGGTGATATAGAGCAACTGGCCGCAGTGCATATCAATGCCTGTGTAGGCAATGCAACCGCGTTGCGAGTGACCTGTAAAGTATGGGAAACTTTTTAATAAATTCTCATTTAAAATAATATTTATATTTCCTGGAGAAAATCTCACCTACACAGCTCCCCCGCTGAATTTGCCTGCCCATCTTGTGGAAATACAGCGTTTCTGTGTTCCGGTGATCCAGGCATTTGGAGGGGTAAATGTGACCTCGATAGTAGGGCGATGAGTTCTCGGAGCTCTCCGAAGAACTGGGATGCCGGGGATTGGACTCGCTCATGCTTCGCCTCGGTTCGCCGCGTCTTTTAGCCTCCGTTTTGAACATCTCCTTGCGACGCTCCACCTCGTCGATAAGCGTCTGGCGCTGTTGGAATTCCCGCTGGCGTTGTATATCCAGTTGCTCCTGGTCTCTTTTCTGCTTGTCCTGTAGCATTTGGTCATAGAAGGACCCCTTAGGCGGCTTGTTGTGCTCGAGAAGAAAAGCCTGAACGGTCTGGGCCAGTTCGTAGATCATCACCTCGCCACGCAGTTCCTGGGATTGGGTCTGTAGTTGGTTGCGTAGAGCTTCCAGCAGCTGATCCGACATGCCCTTGGACTCTTCAAGAGCGATTTTAGGGGGCCTGAGAAAAATCATGGTTTAGTTATGTTATTTCAAGGATTAGTTGGTGGATTATAAGGGTTTTTTTATTTGTTTTTAGTTGTGAATGCTTATGGAATTGTTTTTCTTAAGAAAAACATTGACAAGCTTAGTTCAACTTTTGGTTAACTCTGTTATTAAGATGATTTCTTACAGTTTTGGGTACTTTGAGGGACAGGTGACATGCAGTTTGGTGCAGACGTAGGCCTCCAGCCCATTGGAGGAGTCTCTTAGCGGGGTGAGCTGAATCCTGATGTCCGTTGGCTTCCAAAGTGCAGCATTCGTCTGGGGTCTTAGGTCCTCCACATCGAGGCCAAAGATGGACTGTTCCAATAAAGAATTTAGCTTAGTATAGGCACTATTCAACAAATAAGCGGCTTACCTTTATAACCTCCAATTCCTGGGTTTGGCGCTCGCGGAAAGATTCCTTCGCAGCCATTTCGTCCGCCATTTGATCATTAAATCTCTATTGAAGTGGTTAATTCCTAGCTACATTTGGGCCTCTTAAATACTGGGTTCGGTGGATCTCGCTCCTTTCCTCACCGGCTTCTAAGAGTTGCGGCCGGTGTAATTTTTTCTGAATCTGCCAGCTGTTTCCAAATCATCTGCGTTCTGCATTACTATGGTTACTTTTTCGACTAGAAGTTTAAGCCAATTGGATTACTCCCTGGATTCCTCAAATATTATTGCGTAAAAGTGTAAACTTGTTGCGCTTTTTTGGGAATTCTCCTGTAATATAAAACTTTTTGCGTATTTTGTACTGAGAACTAGAGGTGCGAGAGTCTCGATAGCGGTTACAGACATGGATGCTAGTATCGATAACGTTGGTGTATCCGATACCGGTTGGTGTCTCTGTTAAATTTGAAAAGCCATGCCTTATTTCAGTGAGAAGCGCACGCCAAAAGATTAAAGCCTAGTATCCAGATCGACGAAAATCGTACGCCAGTCATGAGAGAGAGCGAGAGGCAAACAGCTGGCGTTCACTTTTCGTCGGGCCTTTTTTTCACGTCGGTCCCCTGATCGACGAAAAAAATACCAGAAAATTCCATAGCGTTGGCAGTCTGAGGAAATGAACTTTGGGTGAACCCTAGCGAAAAGATTAAAAAATTTAATCTTTTGGCGTGCGCTTCTCACTGAAATAAGTCATGGCTTTTCAAATTTAAAATTTATTGAGAATTACTCCAACTTAAAATTCATTTTACCGGCACTAATCGAACGATTAACCACAATAAACTAAAACCAAAAGTTATATTAAAAAGGTAGAAAAAAGTGTCAGTGTAGAGTCCAGAACAAGACAACAAACATTATCACTTCGACTTGAGGCGAAAAAGAAAGTTTAATGAAATTGTTGTTAGATATGCAAAAACAGATAAACCTGTTATACGGCGAAATTTTAAATTTGGGAGTTATGCCAATCAGTTTTGCACTGGACCTGAAGGGAAGAACATGCCAAGTATAAAAATGCTGTGGATTTTCCTGCTGGTGTGTTTCCATCCCGGTTACCTGGAAAGTTCTCGCATCCTGGCATTGTTTCCAATACCGAGTCCTTCACATTACTTTTTCGTCTTGCCCTACCTAAAAAGTCTGGCCTCCATGGGCCATGAAATATTCTCTGTGAATCCGTATCCTTTGAAAGAGCCGGTAAAGAATATATACGATGTTCCTGTTCCGGAAGTGTTTGAAAATTTTGATGGTACGTGATTGAATAATAGACGAAATTCGTTTATGTTTCTATTTACATCTAAGAAAGTATTTTAATATGAATGAATGAATTATATTTTAAATATTCTTCTAGAATTCGTCAAACGTGTATTAACTTCCAAAAACACTTGGCAAAGCAATGACGTTTTTAACGAATACTCCCTAAACCTCACGGACACAGTGCTAAATAATGAGGGCGTACGTCGAGAGATTCTCAGCCCCAAAAGTGCCCCATTCGACCTGATCATAGCGGATCTTTGGCGGATCGACGCTCTCTGTGGTCTTGCAGCCCACTTGGAGGCCCCCATAATTGGAGTGGCTCCCTATGGAACTGACTGGAAGATCGACGAACTAGTTGGTAATAGCTCTCCGAATTCGTACCTCCAATCTCCTTACTCTCATTTTCACGATCTGGAGACTTATAGAGGACGTCTGGCACAGTTTGTGGAACAATCTATTTCCTGGATTAACTATAAATGGCGGCATGTAGAAAAACTGAAGGCTCTCCAAAAGAAGTACTTCCCGAATATAGCTAAGATTCCGCGAAATTTTGCCTTGGTTTTGGTCAACCAGCACTTCACCCTGGGTCCTCCACGTCCATATGTCCCGAATATGATTGAAGTGGGTGGACTGCATGTAGATCAAAATCCGAAGCCTTTACCCAAGGAACTGGAGGACTTTATCCAAGGGGCTGGCGATGCTGGAGTCATCTACTTTTCTCTGGGCACCAATGTCAAAAGCAAATCTCTGTCTGAGGATCGCCGAAATGTCCTGCTCAATACCTTTGCCAATCTACCTCAGCGAGTCCTGTGGAAATTTGACGATGAGCAACTGCCAGGAACATCCGCGAATGTTTTTATTAGCAAATGGTTCCCGCAGCAGGATATTCTAGCCCATCCACAAGTAAAACTCTTTATAACCCACGGAGGATTGTTGAGCACTATAGAGAGTATTCACCATGCAAAACCTATGTTGGGCATGCCCTGCCTTTTTGACCAATTCCGCAATATGGAACATGTTCAACGACTGGGTCTGGGCTTAACCTTAAACCTACAGGAAATGACTGCAGAGGAATTCAATTCAACCATTGTAAGGCTGCTCACTGAGAAGAGTTTCGATGTCATAGCAAAAACTACGGCTGCCAGATATCGGGACAAGCCCATGGGACCAATGGAAACAGCCATCTGGTGGACGCACTACGTCCTGCGGCACAAGGGAGCTGCTCATATGAGTGTAGCCGGCAAGGAACTGGACTTCTTTATATACCACAGCCTGGATGTCCTGGGCACTTTTTTGCTCGCCTTTCTCGTTACCTTGGGAATTTTATCTATTTTTATATTTAAAACCTTGAAGAGGTTTAAGTTAAAGGCACAACTTAAAAGCGAAAAAAATAAACAAAAGAAAAAGGTTCATTAAATTAAGAATTATTGCATCTATAACGAAATAATGCAATATTTTATAAAACAACTAAAAATCGATTTTTATGCGTTTTTGTTTAAAAACAATTAAGCTATGTCGAGTTTTCAACAAATTTTTGGATCGTTTCTATCGCAGCTATATAATTAAATTATTAGAATGACTAAATTTGTCTGTTAAAACAAAAAAAATTTAATAAAATAAATATAATAAATAAATATTATTATGTTTTTTAATTGAGAAGCGCAAATCTTTAATTTGGTTCGTCACATGAGTAGACCACCTACCCTTTGCGGGAATGATTCGCAAATCAACTTGTTGGATTTGTTTGATTTTCAATATGCTGCTCATTAAAGCTCGACTACAACGGTGAATTGGCCTTGTCATGCTTTTCTTGTTTTGTATCCACAAATACCTTGTTTTCGTGTTAAATTACTTACAATTGAAAGAATGGAGCAGATCCGAGTGGTGGTGCAGTTGAGTGATACCAAATCCTTTGGAAATGCAGCGGAATCTGCAGGAGAACACCGACCAGGAGCTCCAAAATCCGGAAGGGAACAACAGTCACCGGAGACCTTTCAATATGGCGGCCAGGTGAGCGTTCTGGACGAGCACAGCCTGCGGCTGGTCTACTGCCAAAACGCCTCCAATCCCCACCTTCTCCTGGCCCAAAGGTTTCACTTCGATGTGCTGGGCACACATGAAAGTGGCGATGAGATAGCCACCCTGCTCACCTACCTTTTCGTAGGAAGGCGTGATGGCTTCCTGATGCATCTGCGTGTGAATCGTGAGTGCCACCTGATGTTCCTCCTGGACACCCTGGTGATTCAGGTGAGATTGAAGCTCCAGCGCGAGGGTCTCCACCTGGATCACGGCATAGTGCGGTTCCGGAAACTTCTGGAGGAGGAAGATGGCAGGAGCGGCAGTGGAAACAGGCTGCCAACGGAGCGCTCCTTCAGCGACATCCATGGCCTCATGTTGTGGCTCCTAAATCAGTACAGAATGCGGGCAGGCCTCAGCACAGGACCGGGTCACGAAGCCCTGGAGGTGGAGTACGTGGTGTCCTCGCAGCAGAGGCACATCCAGTTTAGTGTGCGTCTGCATGTCCTTCTAGTGGCCATGGTGGAGCTAAGTGAGAGCTCCTCCCTGGGACTGCGTTGGTATTTTCGGGATGACCAGATGACCTCCCCGGTGGTGGCCACTGAACTCGTATCTTTCATGCTGCACATCTCCAAGGGGAGTCGCGGACATCATCTTTACATGCCCGTACTGGTCCATGTGGTGGCTACTGACTCCCAGGTGGATAGCCTCAATGCACAGCTGCTCAGCCTGGCACATTTGGTCGGTCGGCAGAACCACCATCAGCCGGAGATCTTGGTGAGTAGCTTTTGAGGATTACCCTTCATGCTCTTACTTATTTCTATTGTGCTCCCAGTCGTCCCCTAGTTCCATTGACCACTTGGGTCAGATGGAAGTCCAACAACAGGAGATCCATGATCGCTTTCAGCTGGTTCACGCCAGTCTGATGCAGTACATCCTGAAGGTGGAGCAACTGAAGAGCTACAGGCAAAGATTCGATGACCAGTTGGCCCAGTTCGAGGAACTACTGAAACAGACAGCCCACACCGAATTTGGCCAATTTCTAAGGGTTTCGCAAGCGAGTCTGGATCACATTAACAATCTGATGGAAAAGACTGCCTAGGAATGTTGTCTCCTTTTATTTCGTTTATGTAAAACTAAGAGTGTGTCTTATCTGTATTGATTTTAAATTACAATGTTCTCGCAAATAACGATATGAGGCAACTGTCTTGACTCAAACAACTTACTTTTAGAATATCAAAATTATAGTTTTCCAAATTCATCTCTAAAACAAGAAAAGAAAGAAAAATCCGGACCATGAACAGTCATCCGGCGTCCAAGAAAAACCATCTAGTGCTGGTGTCTTTTACAGATACCAAAAGGCGTTGCTGTGTGGAAGATCAAGTGCTGGAGAATGATATCAGGATATTGGACAACAAGTCCATGTTGCTAAGGATGCAAAATAACACAGCTAAGCCCGTGAAATCATGGGACTCCCCTCGCTATTACCGGCATTTGGAGTTTGATGCCGTTGGCCATGATCTTGAGCCCCAAATCCGAACAGAGTTGGGCGATTTTATGGCCCAGATGTTTCGCCACCATCGTCATGGAAGTCTGCTGCGTCTCTTGCTCCAAAAGAACCACAATCCCAACTTTCTGGCCCGTCTGTTGGTCACAGAAGTGGACAAACTAATGGTGGCTCTTCGTTACCGCCTTAAAGCAGTGAATGTGGACTACTTTGATGTCCGGAAATTCGAAATGGTGAACATGTTGGTGGAACCCACAGCAGTTCCCAATCGCCGAAGGATTACACCTTGCGGAAAGGCTGTTTCCAGCACCAGGGACTTGTACCAGTGGCTAATTAACGATTTCACCGTCTTACGAGGTAGTGGACTGGGCGACGACTATCTAGACTTCGAGTTTGTGTACCGGGATAGCATGGCCCTGCAGCACAAGATTCACCTCTCAGTGTTCCACATCTTTGGCAGTGAAAACCGACCTGATTTAGTTGACTTCTTCGGGAGTTTGCCGAAGGGCAGGCCAAATGGGAGCACCCTTTTGAGCGATTGCTTGAAAGAGTCCTTTGACTTCAAAAGTCCCCTCCCTGCAGTGGTCATGTTCGAGTTGCCCGTAGCGCCCGACTTAAGTGATGCCAGGCGCAAGATCTTAAAACTGGCGGATCTGGCCTACGTGTCCTTGAAGAAAGCCCGAAAATTAATGGCCAAACCAGAGACTAAGCCTGTCTCTCAGACTTCTATAAGCCTATTCAAATTAAATAGGACCTCTGACAACCGCAGTTCCGTAGGTTCAGTACCTGATATTTCTCAGGCCCATGGGCGTCGCACTACCAAACTTTCGGACGCGGAGTACAATGGCTTGGCCTACTGGTATGGTCGCATTGATTCCAAGTTTGCTGAGCTAAAACTCGCCATGGAGCAGCACTTTGTGGATCTGTACAAAAGGAAAAGTTTGGACCTGCGCAGTGAAATCAGAACCATTAACCAGGATTTAAGCGATGAGAACGACGAAAGTGGTGGCGATGGAGCAAGGCCGCAAAGAACACCTGTAGAAGTGGACTCCACCAGGAAAACATACCTTGTCCTGAAAAAGGAATTTAAGAAACTCGAATTGGAAGCCGAGAAAACCACTTACGCCTCCGTTTTAAGGGTCTACATCAGTACTAAGAACTACGAACTTTCCGAAGCGGAAAAGACTCTTAAGCAAAGGGAAGTCGAGAACATTAGACTTCGTTTGATTCAGTACATCAATACGCCAGATTCCAGCATTTTCGGGGACTAGTAGTTTAACTAAATGTCACGGAAGACTTGTGATGCCTAGTGAAACTCCTTTTCCCAATTGAAAAACTAAGAATAAATATTCATTTGTCAATTTACTTCACATCGTTCTTATTTCCAGAAAGACAGAGGTTTTATAAGGTATACGTATAATATAATATAATATACATTTATATATAAATACATTATTATTGTCAACAATATGTTTCATAGTAGTTAAACAGATTCCCCAGCTGCGGCTTCATATTTATGTGTAACAGTTAAATAGTTGAATGCTAAATAGGCAATAATATTTTGTTTAGAATAACACTTAGTGCCAAACACTCAAAGCAACAACAACTAATGAATGTTCAAAATCAATGCTAGATCAATTCAATTCGATTCGATTGGTATACGTAATTAGACAACAATTTGCGTATATCTCAATATATTAATATGTATGTTGGCAATGTTCCTGTTATCGTTCAACAACTTTAAATCGTTTCTCTTGTTGGATATGTGCATTGGGCGATGGTTTTTGTATTTGGGAGGTAAGCCAGATTCAAACAGGATTTGTACAGGGAGGTCCCGCTACGGTGCACAAATGAAACCTTGCCGTCAAAATGTCCGACAAACTGAGCCATCTAATCATAATTTTAACTTAAACAAACAGCTGAAATAAAATTGCAGTGCCACTTAATCTTAGCCACCTAAAATGTATGGAAAATAATCAAATGTGCTTTAAAATATTTATGATTTTTAGGTATTAACATTAGGTCTGTAGATCTTTCTGTCGAGTATGTTCAAGCGCGTTCTTCTAGCTTTTCTACTTCAAAGCTAAGCCTAGAGCATTGTTTCTAAATGTTTATAAATTGGACTTGCAACCATTCATTTGTATTGAACAGAATTATAAAAATAATAGTAGTTTTTATGGGGGGTTCCACAGTTTTGGAATTGTATTTTTGTTTAACCACCTGTCTGAGATTACTCGAAAATTCCAAAAGACTCATTCATTAAAAATGCCAAAATGAAAAACCAAATTAACGCTCAGCACTGGAAAACTTGTTTTCCTTGTAATTTTCCCTTTTTGTTTCACAGTCTTTTTTGAAGTACGATTCCAGAGCTGAGCTTTAATTTAGTATTTTTCGTAAACCTACTGGACACTGGGCTTCGCTTCAACTCAAGACTTACCATGTGTATATAAAAAATATATATGTATAGTATATATCGCCCAGAAGCTGGCAGAAATTTTTCTGTGTGTTTGATGTATATCATTGGTTGGCTACACAAAAGCGTTTACGTTTTCTATATAATGCAATAATGCAATCAAATGTGTGCTTATAAATGCTTTTCTCTGCTCTTGGCTAACTCTCAATCTAATCTCTGCTATTTTCCCAAAGAACTTCGTTTGTTTTTTACACCTGAGCTGGTTTCGTCTGCTTGCCGAGTACCATGAGCAGCTTTTGTAGGAATCGTGTGAGGCTTACTGAAAGGTAAGAAAAATACAACTGAGATTAGTATGACATCGTTGAAGAGGATAATCTACTAGCTAGCTAGAGTTAGGGGTGCAAAGAATAGTTTGGGGTTGCAGATCTGGTGATTCATTAGTGGAGGTGTTAATTTTTTCAGAAATCAGTGCTGAAGTAAAGGCAGGCAGGTGAGTCGAATGTTAGAACCAAAGTAAAGCTAGGATAAAATAGCAAACTTAAAAACCTTTGACGCCGCTTTGGGACGCACAACCATCATCATTTTCTGTAGAACTTGTGTCAGTCCGCCTAGAATATCAAAAATGGGTGGGATTCACAGCGTGAATAAGTGAAAAACAACAGGAAGAAGCAGCCTTTCAGAGGATTGCATTGGGGGAACCACTTACCCATGGTCTTCTGGAACCAAATGGGCTTGTTCTTCCAGGCGATGAAGACCAGGTAGACGGGTATGCTGGACAGAATCATCAGAATGCCGTATCCAGTCTCCACGGGACTGGCGTACATGGGCACAACGGTCACGAACATGGTGGCGATCAGGTAGACAATGGGGAACACCATGGGCACTCGGATGGGGCGAGGAAGGTTGGGTTGGGCCCACCTCAACCAGGGCAGGCACAGCACAGCCACTCCGATGCTCAGCTGGAATGGGGGGATGGTTATCCATATTTAGTGGCCTTGTAATGGACTTCATTCAACTCACCCAAGTGGCAAAGCCCACATAGTTAATCAGGGCAAAGATATCAGATACTGTGAGGTACAACATGGACAGCAGAGCCATGGCCAAGACCGCGGGGGTGGGAGTGAATCTCTGGATCTGGATCATGGTGAGGATCTCGGGCATCTGGCCATTGTTGGCTCCGGCATAGAACAGTCGGGAGGAGGTCAGCAGAATGCCATTGACTGCTCCGAAAGTGGACAAGGCCACAAACACTGAAAAAGTCAAGACCAAACATGAGTAACTGCCTTTTTAAAACAGGTATTTGGGGAGCCCACCTGGAATGGTCCAGGCCAGCACGCCAAAGGCTCGCTCCGCATACGTGACTGCCACCGCCGAGGAGCCCATGACCTCATCCGGAGATAAAATGGTGTAGAAGGACACATTCGCCATGACATAGACCACGGTGACCAGCGTGCAGCTAATTGCGATGGCGCGGGGCAGGTTCTTGACCGGATCCTTCAGCTCCTCGATGATGAAGTTCAAGTAATTCCTGTCAACAGCAGAGCAAACAAATCCAATTAGCAAGGGTGCTGCCAGGGGAATTCCATGTCCTGCGTAATCCGCTTACCATCCATTATAGGCAAAGAGACCGGAGTAGAAGGACAGAGCGATGGAGGTCACCCTAGTGTCCGTATTCTCAAAAGTAAAGTATTGCACATTGCCCAGGGAAAGTTGGTACATGCCAGTGGCAATGATGACAAACAGGGCCAGCAGCTAAAAGAGAGAAATGGTGAGCCTTTCCCCCAGCAAATCCAATCTATCCGACTTACTTTGGCATACGTAAAGATATCCTGCACAGCGGTCGCCCATTTAACATCCCAGCAGTTGATTAGGGTCAGCACGACTGCAAAGTAAAATGGCAAAATGGGAAAATGAAAATTTATATATTGAGAAGGCCGCCTAACCCACATTCGAGCCTCCATCACGACTTCGCAGTCACGCCGAAGATAAAAATCCAGAGATGCGAACGACCCATGTGGGTGATGTAATAACGCGAGGACTTTCATGTGACAATGTGACAACTCGTTATTTATTGCCCCCGCTATTGTCTCAGGCAAACGCACTTGATTCCGCACAATTAAATCAGTATTAATACTATTAAATAAGTAATGGGGGAAACGACTATCAACAAGTAGGTTCGGGTTTCGAAACTATGCACTTAAACGGGAAGTGATTTTCCATTAAATAATTGTGGTAATGAGCACTTTTCAGGTAATCAGTTTGCAGGCCATTAAGATACAATTTAAATGTTGACCATTTCACACGAAGCAATAAAGTTTAATTGATTGATTCATAAATTATAAGGATTTTAAAGTCAAAAAAAAACAAAGTAATTTTGAATTGGTTTTACCATCTTAATTATTAAACAAGTGATTAGGTATGAATAATAAATATAATAAGTTATAAATGTGGTAATTTTTTTCCTCATCCTTATCCTGATTATTGGTTTAGTACAATCTGAATTGGTTTCCAAGCAAAACCCAAAACAAAACACTCCCATACTCCTCCCCTGCGAACCTTTCTGGCACACTGATAAGCCTGATGTGGCAAACTCTTTCAGCGTGTTTATTTGCTCGCTACTCGGGGGATGCATTCAAATGGCTTCTAATCTATAGGTCAAGTACGCGAGTCTATAGATTGCGGTTCAGGGGAGGTTCTTCCGCCCATTAATATGTTATAATGCATACACTAAAAGCCGATCAAAACTTACGTATGCAACAGACGGCGAGGAGGCGGGCGGAATCCTCCGGAGGAGAACACTCCGGGAAGAAGGGCTTCAGGACGTAGGTACTGAACGTGAGGGCCACTATGGCCTGGGAACAGGGCCTCACGATCATGCACTCGATCCAGAGGCGGATGAAGGCCATGAAGGGTCCGAAGGTCTCCATGATGTAGGCGTAGTCAGCTCCCGACTTGGTAATCATCGTTCCCAATTCCGCGTAGCAATAGGCACCCACCTGGAAGATACAATAACGATCCAATTTTAACTAGGTTATAAGTTTTAAGTTTTCTAAAATGGTTTTAATAAATTAATATTATTGTTTATGAATAAAAATATTTTCCAGGAAGCAACAGAACATTTTTTTTTCAACAATTTACTTATTAAGTCAAAAATCGAATAAAAATTCAATCTATCAGAGAATTGACTGCCACATCTTAAGAATTAATCCAGAGATAGCTACAAAACAAAACAAAAGCTTTCAGAAGTAAGTCAATTTGAAATCTTGTCTAGGGTTCATAAGTGCAAAGACTTTAAAGAAAATATTAAATTGATGGATTTCTTTTGAAATATATTGTTTTTTTATATTCTTTAAGGTATATCGGTGGCTATAAAGTGTGTGGGAGTGCGCAATCGTTGTCATCTGCCAGTGACACTGCTGCGTATACGCAATTTTATTGAGCTGAAGCCGCTTCGTGTGCGTTTGACATGGACTTGTCATGTTTGTGTGCGTGCTTGAGCGGGTGTGTGTGTGTGTGCGGGGGCTGTTTGGTTGGTGGTTCCAGAATTGGGTGCAGGAATTCCAATAATTTCATTAAGCGACCCAGTGGCACTCTGCCAGCACTCGTAATTGAATGAGAAAGTCCTTTCTAAGTTCCACCCACACGTTCCTTCCACTTTCGCATGCCAGCTGTTATTTACCAGCAGGTTATTTACACCTCGAGCAACGGCAACAGGTGTCTGGGCTATCGAGTGCCCTATTCCCATTTGCATATCAGGTTATTTATATGTATTGCACTCACCATCGAGAAGAGTCCGGAAATGACCCAAACGATGAGGGCCAGGTTCACACTGCCCGTGTACATCAGCACTCCCGTGGGCGACACAAAGATGCCCGATCCGATGATGGAACCCACGATGACGGTGCAGCCATTGAGCAGGCTCATCTTGGCCTTCAGGGTCACCTCTCCCCCGCCGCCTCCATCCCCTCCATCCGCATCTCCGTTGGTCAACTTGGCGGAGGCATCTCCGTTCCCATTCACAATCGAACTCTTCCGCGACGAGTTCTTCCTATTCAACGACTCCGTTTCCATGCTGACAGCACTGCGTTTCGTACTTTAAAAGTTACCTGAAAATTGATTAAAGGAGGAAAGTTAAGGGTGTTCCATAAGAAATATACAAATAATGTTTTGCATTAAAAATAGTATAGCAAAAGCTAGCTGGCTTTCCCTTTACACATTTGTTGAAGCACTTAAATATATATTGTAGCTCTCCGATTCTTCACCATGGGTAGTTTAACTAAAACAGAGCACATTCTGTGACATAAATTAATAGTAAACATATATATACTTTCATCGAATTTTCTAAATGTGTGGTTCAGCTAAATTTTTATTTATTAATAATTTTTCACTGTTATTTCAGGTAAAAAATTCCATCCATTAAAGCCTCTAAGCTATTTACTTTTTTGTATACCTTTGAGCTAGTATCTCACATCGATTAATTACGTAAGATTGTTTACAGTATGGTTTTATAGACCCATAAATTACACGTTTTTAGTTGCTTTCAAACCTATTTTTATCCCATATTTTAAGCTTAGTATATTATTTAAACAATCTGCTGTAAATAAAACGTATTTTCCCTCAATTCATATATCTACAAGTTGATTAACTTTTTTAATGGTGCTAATTTATAATTTGTTTAGGGAGTGGAATTGGCGTCTCTGCCATTGACTTTGAGAAATGGTGTGCTAATTGCGATAAGAGAGAAGTCTATCTCAAATATTAAATTCTAGATTATGTGCTAAATTGTGATTCTGTTTATTGCTTGAGCAATGTTCGTCTAGTTTTTATCAGATAGCTCAATTTAATGTTTCGCGAGTGTTTGCTTGGCATTTCATAACCTCAGCTTAGGAATTTCGTGAGAAGGCCCTCCCTTTTTGCCTTTGATTGCCTTTCTTTTGCCTTTGTTTTCTTTATTTTTTTGAGTGAAAGGTAATTAAAGGTCATTGGCAGAGCAGAAGTAAAAAGTTTGCTCTACTTTTACCTGACTTTGGTATACCAGTGTTTCGGGCGAGAGCTTTTAATGTATTATTTGCACGGAGAGAAATGTGGAGAATCTTAGTTGAATGTTTTAAACGTTCGTTTGAATAGAGTTCTGCCAGAAGAAATTAAAAAAACAAATATATATAAATTAAACATATATATATGTATATTTTTCTGTAAAACTGGCAGACAAATTGAGGGCTTTGCTGTCTGGATTTTTTCTACAACCAGGCGTGACTTTATTATCTGAGAAAGTCGTCGATGAGGAAGCAATGGCTTCGCATTAAAAATATTCGGCATGAAGTTCGTTAAACCCTCAGTTATATTATCGCAATTCGTTCGGTGTAAACGTGTGACGGAGCCTGAAGATTGATGGATAAGCCTCTGGGGAAGGCACGTGTGGGCCTATGAACTCGACACAAAGCCAGGGAAGTGATTCCCCTGGACCCCGCCCACTTATGGGATTAGGTCACGCCAATTGTTTACTTTGGCATACCATATGGTGGGTGGAAGGGGATAACTTCCTCTAGGCGAAAGCAGAGGCCGGTACTGGACCCACGCTCTGCATAAATTAGCATAACATCAAGAGGCGAGAAAAATAAACAAAAGAAGGCGTGTGATTCAGTTATGGAATAACCGGTAGAATGGCACCAGCAAAACAAACAGGTGAACAAACTAATGAGCACCAGAACTATAACTCGGAGGCCCTCGACTGCTAATTGGCCCCCGATAATCTTGGCTTAACAGTTGGCCAACCAAGCCGAACGGAGTGAAAACGGTCGAAAAAGATCCAATTACTCCAGTAATAGTCGAACAGATCATGGATTTTTAATGAAAAATCGCTAATCGGGGTTTACCAACTATTCCACTAAAGTGCGGAATTCGAGTGAAATCCGAGCGGGAAATAATGCGAAATTACATCTGCGGAATTCACAATTCAACTTGCATCATGACTTAGTCATTACCTCCAGGAGGTCTCTTTTTTACGTGCGAAAGGCATTGTCATTAGTTCACATCAAGGCAATTAGCTCTTTCACTCCGCAGCTACCCATTTACTTGACCCAATTTATGCATAAATCAAGATATAAACCACTTTATTGATTCATCGAAAATGGTGTTCGTGTGCGCACCTGAGGCGTAAACAAAAATACAGCGCCGCAAAAGAACTAACAAAATCCATTAATTTTGGTTTAGTAAACAGAAATGCTATTGTATAGTCCGTATAAATCACTGTACGCTATCGGTTTCGAGGCAAGTGCTTAATATATGCATAGTTAGCTTAGGCTATCAACTAATTGAAGCTAATTGTGGAAAAATTAGATTTTTTGCTGGCAAAATAATACTGATAGCGTTCTCAGGGCCATCTGCTTAACAATTACAATTGGATAATAACTTTAAAACATCAACAGAAAAAATAATACATTATTAGTTGTATGAGATTGAAAACATGTTTTACATTTTATTACCCTAATTACATGGTTTTTTAAAGTTTTCTAAGCTTTTATTCTCAGAACGAAATTTATATTCCAAGCAAATCTATATTCTTCTAGTCGGATTTCGAAATTCCACTCTCAATTCCGGCTTCAGAATTGATTGCACTGTACTGATTATATTATCACCAAAACACCTTAACCAACTAGTTCTAATCAGGACTTATAAATAATTTCGTTTGATTCACAAAAATCAAAACAAGAGGAAATGGACCGGAGTCGCATGCCGTTTATCAGCAGGTTCGAGTAAGTCGTTTAATTAAAACCAAATCTAAATATATATTTTAAACAAGATTTTAACATTCTGGGTATTTGGCATGTACAACCGATCTGCACACATAAATTGTTGGGGGCAGCTTTTAATGGCGTTTTTATGAGTTGCCAAAATCGCCTGATGCGTTTTAATTTAAATTTGTGCTTCACCGCTGCTGTGTTAACGATTGTTTTTCCATTTTATTAACACCTTTTTAATTGTTTCTTTTCCTCCTCTTGATCACAAAACACAAGTGTTGCGCACGCATCGCAAACATATTTAATCTGCTTGAATTGTATGCTATTTGACTAACGCTGAGAACTAAGTACTCAAGAGGCGATTAGGATTTGCTACCTGCTTAAGAGCTCGAGCACTTTTCGCGTAAAAAAGAGGGCCTTTCTAGCTGAAATACTAGTCACTAGCCAGTTTCACCGGAGAACGAGAACCGCACGCAGTCGGCGGATAGAGCAGACTGACAACCACCGGCTGCTCGATTTTGCTCCGAGGCATCTTCGCTCCGGAAATCTCGGCCAGAGGTTAATCGGGTTCGGGGCTGGTCGGCTGTTAGTTATCTCCTACACATCACGCAGAGGGCAAAATATTGGGGCTCTCACTGTACAAAAGACAATGTTATACAACATTTCATTTGAATCTATGGAATCTAACTTCTTTATTAAAAGCATCATTTGACATAGCAAAGAGTTTAAGGTATTTAAAACTAGTTATCAAATTTAATTACCAAAAACTTCGAAATGAGATAAACTTATTATTTATATTATGGTAGTTCCACCAGCAACCAATTTATTTAATAAATAAATTTGTATTTTTTATTAAAGGGATTATTAAGTATTATTATTATTTTATTATTACAGAAATATACATGACACTTGAGTAAATAACCATATTTAAGGTTTGGGTGGAAATATAATACGAGATATATACTACATTTCTGAAAAGCCAGGAATGATTGGTGTGCGCTACTTCGAACCTGTTGGATGTTCGATCGAGAGGCTCGCTTGTTTCTAACCGGCACTCAGTGTTTTTTTGAATTAGTAATTTCAACGAAACAAGTTTTTGATGCCGCGTTTTGTTTGTTCCCGTGATCGTGGTCGTCGTACCTTTTTTTTGTGCTTTCGACACCGATTTGGTGGTTGCCGAAAAATGGTTCTCATTTCTTGTGTATGCCAGACAGGCGGAAAATGGTACACGCTGACTTTTATCTAACAGATACACAGCGGCAAGCTCAAGAGCAACTCTAATTTAGTTGAAGGCTTTCTGTTTGTTTACCCATGTGGTAACAATCTTTGGGTACTTGAAACTAGTGGTACCCTTCTTGAGATACAAAAGTATATATTGTTGCCGTGTATCTTTCTGCGCTCACACGTACATGGGCTGCGTTAGACATGCAAATTAGATATAAGACGCTCTGATTTTCGCGCGAATATTCAAATCTATTCCAGCCCACTTGCCCAGAACTATAATTGAATATATCCGCACCGGGGAGACCACATCCACACAAATGACTTAATTCAAAGTTGTCTCCGCAATTCGTCGCCAACTGAAGCACAATGGCGACGCGACTGCAATTTCCCTGTAGAATTTATTTAAATAACTTGTATTACTGAGAATGATCGCTGCTTTCAGCATTACTTAAACCTAAATTTCGCTTCGGGCCATTCGAGTTTATTGACCAAAGAAACAAAGCTGATTCGACTGTCAATACCATCGCCGAGTGGCTTGATCTCCCCTTTATTAGCAATTTGTGTATATAATCCAGAATTAACGACCATTGGCGGTGCGTCCAGCGGCCGTGTAAAAAGGTAATTTATCTAATTTTGCGATCATCTATTTATTTTAATCTTGTCGTAAGGTGGCACTTTAAGAGTTCCCTCAACTTGTTAGTGATCTGAATTGCTAAGCCTTATATTTGCTAAATCTTAGCTCATCGAATTGACTTACTTATTAAATACAATTCATTGCACAGGCAAAAGCAATCATGTTAGGTAATTTTTAATTTTGAGTATATTCAACTTTAGTTCAGAGTGAATGCTAATAACGATTATTAATTGATTTTTTTCTCGCAGATTTTTCCCTAACAAAATTGTGTACTTAATTCTTTATCTCTGAAATCTGCTTGGGCTTTCAGGCTCAGCTAACAATTTACGCGAATTCATTAAAGTACAACTTTGTGATGCCCCTCGCCAATGGCAATAAATTTCAGGCTGCCGTCAAGGCCAAGGGTTTATCACACCTTTTGGCCTTGAACTGGTCGAAAACTGTGCGTTTGGCATTTGAAACTGAGACTACCGGCGTGCCAATTTCCAATAAGTTGGGCGAACACTCCTTTTCTGAATAGCTGGGCTGGGGGTATTATGTTTCCACCATATAACGACACTCATTAATTTAGAGATCGACTCTAATCCCAAGTATCGAACGACGTGGCTGGAATTTTAAGAGCAAGTCGTTGGGAAATGGCAATCTCACGTTTCGTGACGTTTCTGACCAAATCCCGCGGTAGCATTGCATCAGACTCTTCGCCATATATTAGTAATATCCGATTAACCATGAAAAGCGGCGCCAAAGTGTCTAGCAAAGCTTTCGGAAGCTGTGTGTGTGGGTGGGCAGCTGTGACGTCAGGGATTGCCATTTGTGACGTGCTAGCTAAAAATAGGGGACGAGGGGCAAGGAAAGACAAAGTGTCACGGATTCTGGACTACTTACACACAAATATTAATTGATTTTTTGTTCGAGTTTAAGAACTACTTTTGTCCTTTGAGCACTTTTAGTTAAATTAGGCTGGTACTAAGCATTTTTATACACTTTTGGAGGAAGTTTAATGGTACAAATTATTTAAAATGTTTTTTTTTCCTTCAATTTACGTTGTTTGCTGTGAGAAAATAATGTGTGAGACCTGTTTTGTTTTCGTGGCCACAGTTCGCGTTCTACTGACAGGCAGTTCGTGGTTACAGCATCGCCAGAAAGCGAGAGAGCAATCAGCAGAGTATAGTATTTCGTTCCCCCCGAAAACTCCCCGACAAGAAGCTCTTGGCCCTCGGCAGACCACGTTTTTTGAGTACCTTTTGCGACTGCAAATCACACATTTCGCAGTCTGAGGAACCGACTCAACCCCCGGCGATCATCAAGGGTTCTTGATGGCTTGGTCATGGGCTTGGTCTTTTAAATTATGCCAGGCCCTTGTGCTTCTTTAATTTTTCTCTGGCCTTTTTTGTGCGAGCCGTCTGCTCGATTCAAATGCCTTTGGTTGTCCGCGCATTAATTTTCGGCGTGGCACAACTTGCTTTGGTTTGCTGCTCTCTGGGACTCGCATTGTTGGACTCAAGGTCACAGCAGTCCTGCTGCGCATGTCCTGAAAAAGCTTTCTAGCGATTACACCAAAGGGAATTTAAATTAAAAAAAAAAACTTTCAAGGCTTTGGGAAGTTTAATGAAATGCGTGCTTAAATAGAAACGACCGAAATGCAAACATCATCTTATTGTCAAAAAAGTTGTCTTCCCTCAGAAGTCGTAACCATTTGTTGAGACCTATTTGTTTTATTGTACTTATACAATTGGTATTTATTACACATAACTCATAAACATTTATTTTGTATAAAATTTATACAATTTTTTTTACTTGACTGAAACACAAGTAAGACAAAGTAAAACATAGATTAAAATCTTTTTATTTTTTTTTTATCTAAAAAATAAAACTGTATAATATAAAAAACACAAGTATGGTAACTTAAGAACTTTGAACAACGGCGCCAAAACTGTATGACAACCTTGGAAAAAACGCAGAAAGTCCCGTAACGCCATGCGAAAGTGGCCAGAAAGCACCTATATTTGCGTTAAGCCCAAAGGTGGTCACACTGCCTGGACCTGAAATCTGTATGTCGCGAATTTATGTTTGCGCCAACCAGAATTATAGCTTCTCAGTGGTTTGAAACTTAGCAAAGCCTATATTACTTTTAACCGAGATCAAAACCCGATATTTCTTAGTTTACTTAAGCCCTTACTCGCAGTTACGACATTTTACATGTTTACGGCAACGGAAAACTGAGACATTGGGGAAAAACACGCGAAAGTTCAGTTCGACGGTGTGGCAGGACTGTATTTTCCACAAGGCTTACACGCGCGCTTTCCACGGAAAACCGATCGCGGCCACCTGCCCCATTTCCGTCGTCCCAGACCTCAATTTTTACACTCGGAAAATCGGTGGAACGGACAATTTCGTAACACATAGATTTCAGGTGCAAATGTATGCACTTTCTGGCCACTGTAGTACTATTTTGGAGCCGCTTTAAAAGGTTTTCTTATAATTGTCATTTTTGTTTCATTAATTTTCGTTGATTTTTAAACCAGCAAACGTTTGGTTGATGAAATATTAGCCAAATCTAAACTTATAGCAAATGAATAAATATCATAGAAACCCAATACGCATTTGCGGTGCCTTTGTCACGCTTTTTGTACTCATAATGCCTCAAAAATGGAAACTGCCTGATTTAACAAATAGTTTCTGTTTGCTTTATTTCACCGCATCGAATTTATTGGAGACTTTGTACGGGTTCAATTGTATGGCAAAAATGATTTAAAATTTAAGCCCATGATAAAATTTTAAAAGTAAAACGCAAAGAATTCGTTAATTTGTAAGCCGCAAGACGGCTGATTAAATTATTTTCTCGCAACTATTTTATGGGAATTATTCAAGAGATTTTTCAATATAGTTATTTACTTGCGTTTTGTCATCGCATTTCATTCGCAGCTTAATTCGAATTTTTCCTTTTGGGTTTTTACAGTTTGTAAGTAAAATATCGAATAAATCCGGTAAAATTTGGCACCTGTGTTGCATTCAGAAGCACAACGCAGCCCAGCGGGAGTAGCCCGCAAATCCTGCCCATATTTCCACCCACCAGCAAAATGTGTTGACAAGGCCAAAAGCAAAAGGTGGGTGTGCGTGTGTGAACCGATGCCATGTGTGTGCGGTGTGCGCCAGCAACTTTGATCCAGCTGCGAACTGTTCATGCGTGGGAGCTGCATTGTTCGGTGCTTAAAAGCGATTGCTGCTACTTCTGCTATATAAATGCACTTGCCCCCGCGCCACCCTGTGCGTATACGTAGTGTGCAACACGCATACGCACTGTTGCACCGCCATAAAGACTTGTCTCCCCGGTTCCCAACTGCGTTCGCTTATTAGTTTGTTTTGCAGGAGGGTAAAATCAATCAATGGCCTCACCTGCCGCCTATCACCCGCCATCAAACACAATTTGATGGCATCAAAGCTTCATTTGTGTGCCTAGCCCACGGACAGGATGCCGAGCAGGCAGGATATGAAAGGACTATGGACTACGGACCACGGACTACAGACTGCGAACTGTCCATCGAGGACAGCAGTGCATATTTTGCCACATGACAGTTTGCTTTCGCATCTATGTCATGGCTGTGTCTGCGTTTTTTGCACCGCTTTTGATCCTTACGTGACTGCGACAATTGTCGCCGGCACCTGTATCAGCGGAATCCTGGGAAACGGAGATACACTTTGAAAAATGTTAACTCCAATGTCAAACTTCAATCATGCGCTTATGAGTTAAAAGTTCTGACAAGTAAGACAAGTACTTTCTTAAACTAATTGGTTTGTTATATATATTTATAGTTTTTATTTGTTAGAGTTTAATCCATATTTTATTACATTTCATGGTGTTTTTCTATGAAAAAGCAATGAGCACTGTCTAGAAATATAATTTTTGTCTTGATTAAAGATGGTCAAATGTCTTAGAAAAAATGTTTGTATATAGCTTTTCAAATTTAGGGATCATTTTTTCCGGCGTAAACGTCAGTATCTAGACGATGACACCGTTTTTTGTCATCTCCGCGTTGGCGGCAAAGTTTTCCCGGCACATTTCCACATTTGCAAATGCAAATTCAAATGCTCGATTACAGTTGGGAAAAAAAAATGCATACGCATTTGCTTATCGCTTCGTGCCTGAACAAATTTTGAATATTTTCCCAGCAATGCTGACCAATGAAGTGCTCACTTTTTGCCGCCTCGGTGGGTAAAACAAGTTCTAAGCTACTTACTGCCCGAAGTCCTGTCTTGCATTGCGATAAATGTTTGGCAGACACAGCAGCTCGTACGTATTGCCTTGACGATTCGGTCCACTGTGGATAAAGCGTTTTTCCACCTGCAAATTTATGCACTTCGTGACCATGAGAGCCAGATACTCTGGAGAAAATGAAGTGCAAAGCAGCTTTTGAAGAGGCATCCTGGCCCGAGATGGCGGGTAGTTATGCAAAGTGCTGCCAGCTGTCGGATTATGCTGATTTTCATGGACTGAAATCAATTTGGGGAAGGCATTTCGCAAATGAACATTGGCTGGCGCACAATCAAAACTTTACTAATTACGAAAACTTGCCGAAAAATCTTCTTAATACAATAAGTGCGACAATGCCCAGTCGTTCCTCCTTCTGAGATCCCTGAATCCAGCCAACATCCAACAGCCAGCAAACAAAGAAACAGGCAAGAAATTAACTTGCGTTTTCAATTACCAAAGAGTCTAAGGAGCCAGGACCGAGCTGCCAAGGCATCAAAATCAAAGGATGTGGAGCAAACGCCGTCTGCTGACAATGCTAAAATGCAAAGAGCAAAAGGACTTGAAGCACACAATATTGAAAGCGGGTAAACTTCGAGGAAAATGGGAAATAGGAGAGCTGACTGGCGACAGCTTCTGTTTGTATTTTTTATGAGAATGGCCAAGTGCAAAAGTTGTTAGAACACTGAATTCCGCTTGAACTGTTATTATTTAGGCTCCGAAAATGGTTAAGCGGGAACTTTTTGCCTCAATTCGTTCGGTCTTCAATCCTTTTTCCATATTTGATCAGGGTTTTTTTGCACCATTCGCTCTTCATTTTACCTCTTTTACTTATGTTGTTTACTTTCCTTTGCTTTTTCTGCAGCAATTTGCATATCCATTTCTGAGTCCTTTACGGGATTTGCATATCCACCTGACTCTTGATATCTTTCACTTCGCCGAACAATTTATTCTTCCCTTTCAGTTTTAATTATCTGAAAGTTTATTGATCTTCTTCGAATATATTCTGCCACATTTGGATTAGTTTTTGATTCCCCATATCAAAGATTCCCCGCTGAGGTGGCACAATTTTCCAACCCCCCGGGAGCATTTTCCATTTGGCACAATCGTTCGCGTTTTTTAATTTATTTAAAGTCGAGCGCGGGAATTGCGGCTGGTTGTCTGGCGACATCAAAAAGCCAGTCGCCATTTGACACTCGCGCCTCGAAAGGATAAAGTTTATAATTTCATAGACTTGCCGCGCTCCTTGGCGACTTGCCACGCCCCCTTTCTCGGGGCGGCGTCTTGAATTTATGCGCTGAATTAATTATGCACGTACGGAGTCAGAGGATTTCCAACTCCTCGGGCATCGCCGGCATCTCCGCTGTTTGTCTGGTTAGTTTGTGTTTGGCGGCGTTGACGGCGCATTTAAAATAATTGCTCGGCGCTGGAAAAAGTGAAGCTTTCGCAGTTCGTGTGAAAAGTTTACACTGCGCTGGCGGCATAAGCTCATAATGGATTTGTTGGCGGGTTTGTTGCGTTTTTTGCACTCGCCGCAGAGTTTTGGGTTGCGAACTTGCGGATTGTGGCAAGAAATCAAGAGGGGGAAGGCAACCGTAATTGGGTATGCCCGACGAGCTAATGTAAGTTATGGATAGTTATAAGTGGCTGTCGCGGGAGGAAACTCATCCAAGCCGAATCGAAAGGACAATAGCGGAAGGCCCGCTTCGAAGAATTGACGTTAGCAAACACATTCAAATTTGATTTAACTCTTTACTTGAGCTTATGGAAAAATGGCTTTGCAGAAAAGTGACCTTAAACCTGGACTTCTAAGCCCATAACTTTTCTTACAGATATCCTATTCCAAAGTGGCATACTTTAAAATGATTGTGGTTTAATTCTCTAAAAAACTGCGTTCTCAAATTCGTTTGTATTTTGGGGTCGATTTTTAGTCATTTTGACAGTGTTACCCCTTACCAAATTTGCGAAAAATGGCTTTGTGGAAAAGTGACCTAAAACCTACACTTTTAAGCCCATAACTTTTCTTACAGACATCCGATTCCAAAGTGGCATACTTCAAAATGATTGTGGTTTAATTCTCTAAAAAACAGTGTTTTCAACTTGGTTTGTATTTTGGGGTCGATTTTTCGTCATTTTGACAGTGTTACCCCTTACCAAATTTGCGAAAAATGGCTTTGCGGAAAAGTGACCTAAAACCTACACGTTTAAGCCCATAACTTTTCTTACAGACATCCGATTCCAAAGTAGCTTACTTCTAAATGATTGTGGCTTAATTCTCTAAAAAACTGTATTTTCAACTTGTTTTGTATTTTGGGGTCGATTTTTCGTCATTTTGACAGTGTTACCCATTACCAAATTTGCGAAAAATGGCTTTGCGGAAAAGTGACCTAAAACCTACACTTTTAAGCCCATAACTTTTCTTACAGACATCCGATTCCAAAGTGGCATACTTCAAAATGATTGTGGCTTAATTCTCAAAAAAACTGTATTTTCAACTTGGTTTGTATTTTGGGGTCGAGTTTTCGTCATTTTGACAGTGTTACCCCTTACCAAATTTGCGAAAAATGGCTTTGCGGAAAAGTGACCTAAAACCTGTACTTCTAAGCCCATAACTTTTCTTACAGACATCCGATTCCAAAGTGGCATACTTCAAAATGATTGTGGCTTAATTCTCGAAAAAACTGTATTTTCAACTTGTTTTGTATTTTAGGGTCGATTTTTCGTCATTTTGACAGTCTGAAAATCTGTTTTTGTTTCCATTCCCAAATAATGTCAGAAAGAACTCGTTTACTTCTATAAGGTGTATAGATATTGAAGACAGTCGGAATAGTTTCTGTTGGCAGCTTAATTAGTTAATTGAATCGATGTGGCTGCAGTTTCAATATACATAGCTATCCCCGGAGCATTAGCATCGCTTCTCGCCATAGTGTCTGCCTTTCATGGGGAGCCATTGAACCCGAAGCTTTGGTACTTCCTCGCTGCTCAACACCCGCTGTCAGGCGCTAGAAGTCGCTCAGTTCCGCCGGCTTTTCAGGGAACTCACATACGCCCACGCAAAGTTCCGAAAATCCCTGAAAACCCCCTGAAAATGTTTCGCTCCCTTCCTGCCAACTGTCTCGGTTATTTACGCCAGCGGCATAACGTTGAAAGCAAATTGATATCATGTGGATTTGGCTTTCACTTTGTGGAATCAATAGGCGAAATCCTTTTGGCAGAGCCTGGCACAGACCCACTCTGCCAAACACTCCGTGTATATCTGCTGCCACTCGAGTTAAGCCAAGGATAATGATTATGTTGCGCAACGACTCTGGAGAAGGGAAAGCTTTGCATAGCTTTTCTGCGAAAGTGGGGAGGGTGGGGAGAGAGGGTGAGGGCGGGGGCGGGGGATTTTGTAATCGACAGACAATCGACGTGAACAACATAATGGATATCGAACTCGAACCGAGACAGTTGCCCACAGCCCCAAAAGCATACTTCAAGGCATTGCAACTAATTGGCTTTCCTTAACTGAGGAGATCTGGGGAGCCCTCAACCGCAGGGACTTGGACTGGGAAATGGCCACTCCTGTTTGTCTTCTATGCCACTTGATTGGAAAATCAAACTAATTAAAAGATTTCAATTAAACGCCGAGCTGGGATGTAAGTACGGCCACCCTCTCTTGCCACAGTAATTCCATTAAAATGGCAAATCAATTTCAATAAATTTCATTCAAAGGTGGAAAACTCAATTGCATCGGCAGCTCAGAAGGTCCTGTCGCTGTTGCGACATCATAAAACTGTTTACATGCTGACAAATCTGTTAATTGAATCGCAAATCCAATTAAAACTTCGATTTTCTAGCCCAGAACTTTGAGCTGCAAAAGTTCAAGTGCATAAATGGCCAACATGTGGACATATCCCGCTTTTGTGTCGAAACTTTTCACAGTTTGTCGTCCCCGAAAATTCGGGTTCCTGCTTTTGCGTGTAAATTCAATAACAAATTAATGCGTTTATTTGGTTGAAACGGCATTAAAGCGTACAATTTCCTAATTAGTCTGTCTGCCGTTTACACAGGCCCTACCAAACTCGTTGCCCTCCCGCTGGCATTTTACGTTTCGCATTTCTGCACGCAAAAATAGTCAAAGCGAAACCGCAAGCTGCGCATAACTAACTCAACTGCTTTATTTGGACAAACCGCAGCCGCAGCTTCGCTCTGCCCAAACATTTTCATCCCATGACACCGGGCCCATCCATGCTGTCGAAAAATAGCAACATATACCATTTCAAATGCAGTTTAGAGGTGAGCATGTCCATTTGGAGATATTCCAACACAAGAAAATACTTGACAGAATAGTTGAAATTTCTTTTTTTATTTATATATACATTATATAATATGGAAATCGTAAAGCCATTAAATACTTTTAACAGATTCTATTTTGAGTTGAGATTTCTTAAAGTACCTTGTTTTACGAATTTGTTTTACTTGATCTGAATGGTTTTCCGAAAGCCAAATTAAAAATTGTTGAAATACGACTAACTTTTTTGCTCGTTATTCCCAAAAGTGGCGCATCTCTGGCGACTCATTTGGCTTGTTCCGGTTTCGTTTCGGATCTCTCGGATTCGGGTTAGTTTTCGGAGAGTGCCGTGCGGAGCCCATTAAAAGTGCATTTAGTGAAAATTTATCTGGGTGCAGAAAGGTAGCAACCGCAGGCGCATTTTCGCATTTTCGACTCCGGCTAGCTACAAGTGTGCGTGTCCGGAAACGGAAATAAAATAATACTGGTAGCACTCGACAGACAGAGTTGCAATAGCAACAGGAAGTCTGTGCCTCTGCCACTTTTATCCCTCGTATGCCAGGTACTTTTGTCTGCCGGCTTTTGGCCTTCCGTCTATTTGTACGTCGCTCGGTCGGTTTGCCTGCTTGCTTGCCTGTTTTGGCGTTGGTGCGAAGGTTTTACTGTTTATGCAAATGCTTTGGCCCCCGAAATGCTTTAACCGAAAACACTTTAACCGCATTCACCTTGGGCGACTGCTTGTTAGTAGCCATTGAAACCAGAACAGACAGCTCCCCCAGCACTCCCCACTCCCTACTCCATACACTCTCTGCCCAAAAGGCCGTAAAATGCCTGCAAGTTACGGCCATGTGCCCCTTGGCTGCTGTTCCCGAAAAATGTTTCATTGCCATTGGAGCTGCGGCTGTGCAGATCCCCTCTGTCCCAGACACCTGCCCTCCCACTTCATGGCTGCCTGAGTTTCTATTATGTAGCATATCGTAATCTCACTTGAGTCAAAGGTTTAGCCACGGACCCCGAAAAACACCCGCAACACCCCAAAAACACCGTCAGTGTAACAGCAGCAACAACAACAGCAACAACAGCAGCAACAGCAACAACAGCAACCCGCAGCTAACACTTTGTAAATAGTCATCGGCGTGTTTATTACTCAGCCGTGCCAGAGTGTCTGTCCCTTCCGACGAAGACCTCTCCTTCTCGCCGGAGTCCTGCTGCCGTGTGGTCCTGCGGTTAGTTGTTAGTGTTGCCGAGTAATCGCTGTTGCGAAAGATTTCCCTCCATAGTGTGTGTGTGAGTGTGCGTGGCTGTGCTTGAATTTCCGCTTAATGAAAGTACAGTTTAAACTTTGCATATCCCGAAAGGATAACTGAAACTAGGTTTTAATCTGAGAAATATATAGTATTGTTTTATTTCACAAGTTAACATTTTAAATATTTTATATGGTAAACGATTAGTTTTGATAACAGAATATGTTTCACATTGTTGTTTCATTTTTAATAATTATTTCCGAATTCCGCTTATTCTATTTGTAATAAAATGTTTATTATTTTTCACAACTCTTTCTAAGCCAATATTGGATTTATATTTTAATTGTCCTTTATTTAATTTACATCCAACAATATTTAACTACACGTTTTTCAAAGGAATTTAATATTATTTGCAACTGAATGCATTTATTTGAAAAGTTTTCCTGCGCACAGAGGGCTTTAATAGCTCTAATGTCATTGCAGCACACGGCCAAAGCGGTGAGTAATTGGTAACTGCTACTTAGAGGCTCTAACTACAATCGTTCTACGTTTATTCCGACTAGCATTTTCCCCTTGACGTCACAACAACTGGCGAAAACCAAACAAAACAAACAATTTCTCTCTCACGAAATTTATCGTTTGCATAAATTTGCTTTATTGCCCGGCTCCCTGTCGTTGTGTCTGTGTGTGTGAGTGCGAGTGTGTGTGTGGGTGAGTTAGTGGCTGGGTATTTGTGTTGCCAACGGAAGTGTAACTTTCGCTTCCAGGCCAGACAAGGCCAAAAACAACAACGAATGCGGCGAACAAAGTTTTCCATTATTCAATTTAACTAATGAAACTGAAAATTCATTTTACCACATTAACAAACACACACAGCCAGAGAGAAAGAGAGAGCAAGAACAGGACACCAAAGGACGAAGGCAGGAAATGTGACTCGCCTCCGGAAAGGACATGTGTGCGTGCTGGACTCCTGTTTTTGGTATTTGAACAGCCATAAAGCGCGGAAATTTATATTGGGGAGAACTCAGCGAAGGACAACCGCGTCGAGGCGCCACCCTTGTGTGTTGGCATTTAAATAATTAAGGATATTTTTAGAACTCTTATTCGAATGTCCATTTGAGTGTCCCGTTTTGGATAAGGGCCATGTGCGTCTAAAGTTGTTTAAGGTGTGGCGAAATACCGCGTTTATAGTGATCTTAAAACTGTAGAAACATATAAATAACCAAAAGTGTCGCAAAAATGTAAGTGCTAACTAAGATTTAAGTATGCAGACCAAAAGCATTCCATCATTTTCGGAGTAAAAAATGTAGTGTTAATGTAAAAACGACCAATTTTTGAACATTTATTGCTTGTTTTAGAATTTTGCTGGCTTATGTCTTACGTGGGATAACATCTTACTAACGGCTGTCCGATTGTGGAGTCTCTGAAGGACGGGCTCCCAAATATAAAATATAATAATACCCGTTTGTAAGGAAGACTTAGTCGCACCCCTCCTCCTCGAGGCCCTCGTCATCGGAGGCGTCGTCCATGTCATCGCTGATGTTATTGCTATCGGCGCTATTGAACTGCCCATCATCGTCGTCGTCGTCGTCATCGAACTCGTTCTCGTCCGCCGCATCCTCGTCTAAGTCATCCTCGGCATCCTCATTCGCCTCCTCGCTTTCCGCAGAGTTATCCTGATCCAGGCAATGGGAGTCCACTGGCACTGTTCCCACGGCCACGTGATCGCCGTTTCCCAGATCGTGACGAAAAAAGGCAGGTGGTGATCCGAGTACTTTGCTCGAGGTTTCCGGGGACTTTGGAAGCCCTGTAGGTGGCTGTTTTTCGATGGCACCCATTTTCTGCGGACTCTCTTCGCCGGCTGCATTGCGAGTCCGGTGGCCCATGCTTGGCTCCTTGGTGGAAGACGATCCTTGTGTCCGCGGCTGCAGCAGTGGCATAGTGTCTGGCTCAATAGTCCTCTCGTATTCCGTAAAATTAAACAACGGCGGCAGACTCCTTCCATTGGGCAGCTGCTGCTGAGGATCATGACGCAGTTCGTCGAAGAAGGGGTGAGCGCAGCCCATCAGGGGGGAAACCCTCGCATTAGGGGAGTATATCAGCATCTTGGAGACCAGGTCTATAGCCTCCGCTGGGGTCCGAATTCGGAACACTTTGGCCCAAGGATGTGGTTTCAGTTGCGGCAACTTGAACTGCTTGTAGTGGGGGTTCATGTCGTGCAGCTGCTCGGAGGTGGGAGTGCCCATGACCTTCACTATCTCCACGATCTGGTCGACACCAGAGTCTCCTGGGAAAATAAGCTGCCCAAGCAAAAGCTCCGCCATCACGCAGCCGGCGCTCCAGATATCGATCTTAGTGTTGTAATCCGTGGCTCCAAAAATGAGCTCCGGTGCACGGTAGTACCTGGAGCAAATGTACGAGACATTGGGTTCCCCGGAGACCAGCTGTTTGGCACTGCCAAAATCACAGAGCTTCAAGACGCCGGTTTCCGAATCGAGGAGCATGTTCTGCGGCTTGATGTCCCTGTGGCAGAATCCTAAGCTGTGAAGGTAAGCCATGCTCCTGAGCAACTGGTACATATAAAGCCGGACAAAATTAACCGGCAACGTTTGCTTGGCCCTCGCATACTGCCTTTCCACCTTGTAAAGAGTTTCCGGTAGATATTCCATCACCAAATTCAGATAAACCTCGTCCCGCTTCTCGCCGCTCGAATAGAAAAACCACTTGAGGGTGATGATGTTGTCGTGACGCAACTTGCGCATGATTTGCAGTTCCCGATTCTTGAAGCGGCGATCCTGCAGGACCTTCTTGATGGCCACCGCCTCGTTGCTGGGCACCATTTTGGCCTGGAAGACCACGCCAAAGCTGCCGTTGCCCACAACTTTGGCGTCCGCGTAGCTGATCTCGCTCATCACATCCCCTCCATAGGCGTTTGTGGCCACCACTGTGGTCACCTTGTTGCTCAATCCATTGCTCTTGCTTTGGGAAGCCATCAGTTCTGAGATCCTTGAGAGAACGTATGCTGTTTTCTGCTATCCGTTATCCTTGAGATTTCATTAAAAAACAGGCATGTGTTTAACTGGCTAAACTGAAGCAACGTTGTAAAACAAAAATGTGTGAGTGAAGTTGGGCCTTTTTGAATTCTTCTGTTGAGCTGACAGCTGTCGAAGTCGGATTCCAGGATGGCTGAGATTTGGATGGATTTTATATTTTACTTATTTAAGAAAACCGTTCCAAAAAAAAATTATTATAATATATATATATTTCATTTTTTATTCATTATTTAAATATTTAATTTAGTTCCCTCGAACGCAGCTGTTGCCGATTATTTGCTTTTACAGTTAGAGCACACTCAGGCTGGACCTGCAGGTAGTGACTTTTTCCCTGGTAAATGAGAGATTTCTGTATTTGATACACCAGGCGACCATAATCATAAAGAAGCTGAAATCCGTCTGAACTACGCGTGCTTAGAGATGTGTGCGTGTATTCCTTTTTCCGCTCGCCCCATATAAACATAATTGGATTTCGTGCCTGACGTGCCAAATTCGTGACACGAACAATAAATCAAGCAGTTTCCCCATCTCTAGTTTGAGCTAAGCTGGAAACTAACGGTAGCCTTCCATAGAGCTGCGGCTGCCATTATGAAAAGAACAGCTGATCGGTCGACACTTGCTCAGAATGGTAGTCTCCTGCTGAGCTTTATGTTTCCCTGGTACATCAAAATCGAGAATTGCGCGGTTTGCATGGGAAAAATTGGGCTTGGTGGGTTTCTTTCGACGTCCAAAATCCAGATTTTTCGATTTGAAACACTAGGCGAACATAATCGCAAGTAGGCGTCCGGGTTTTAGTTTTCTGCCTTTCGCAGGGGCGTACTAAGAATTTTGCCAAGAGGGGTCAAAATCGCAATTTGGGGGCTTTTGGCCCCCAAACCCCTGTTCCCGCTGACTACGCCCTTGTGTTCTTGAACAAAACTAACGGTATTCTGCATGCTGTCTTCGTTTTCATGCTTCCACCTTCTGCGAATTCTGTTGGCCTGGTGGCAAACGAAATGCCCAAGTTCGGTTTCTGACCAATTTTGGCTCATTTTTTCGGTCGAATTTGGAAGATTTCCCGAGTTTAAACATTAGGCGAACATAAGTTCCAGTAGGTGGTTGGGCTAAGTCAGAGCCCAGCAGCCCTTAAATGTAGGCAATGCAAAAATTAAATTTTGTGGGCGCCATCTGTGGGGCGATTTTGGAAGGCGTAACGATCGGCTGCCTAACAGTATGCTTTTGGAATATATTAGCTCTTTTTTTTGTCAATTAAACAAATGTGAAACAAATTCGGCTTAAGATCTACGTTTTATTCTCAAACAGTAAATATCAACAGTTATAAAATACGTGTTACTTACAGTTCTCCGATTAAGTTCAATGTCTTCAAAATGTAAGAAAGTGAAGCTGATAATAATGTGAAGAAAGAAAGCAAGTACTTAATAGCTTAATTAACTTTAGTTGTCACTCACAGTTGTAGAGGAAACTGATTCTCAGCTGGTTGAGTTTGCTTTTGGCCCTCTCTGTTCAGTATTAGAACACTTGAGCCGAACTTATGCAAGGCCATTCATAATTCGTGAGGGCTTTCCTTTGTACTGTGTAAGTTAACTAATTTCAGAGGACCCTTTTGCATTGTTGTCCACGACATGACTTTCGACTTGAAAGTTTCGCTTGCTCCTTTGTCTTCTGGCATCTCGACTGCTTATCGCTTGGCTTTGGCTAACTTGACTTGGCCCTTCTTGTCTTGGCCATCCTGTCCACTTCCTTATCAAAAGACCATGCTTTTTATTGTTTCCTTACAGTTAAAGTGCCCCAGAGGGTGGCATTTTTTTATATAGCCCCAGATAACACAGAAGACATCCCCCAAAACGAATAAAAACGTGCCTGTGTAAATGTTTGTATAAAATGTCGGTTGCAGTTTATTTTTTACTTGTAATATTATTGTATATATTAGATATATATATAAAAGTGACACACTCATGGTAAAATCTTGTTAGAGACATTTAATCGTATATATTTAAGTTTTTTTCGTCTACAGTTTACACCAATATGCAGTAGATTGTAAAAGTGTTTATTCGATAATATTTCATATGCATTCCATATTCGTTTTACTCCTTAGCTCTAGTCTGACCACACAAATTGTTGAGTAATTTTATTAATAGAAGGGATATTTACACAACTCAGGAGTCACCGAAGAAACCAGCGGACGGACAGACTTAAATTAGTTGCAAATGATTAAACTAAGCTATATGGTCAAAAGTTGCTCGCTTACGTAAATATTATTGAAATTGTTGGACGTTGTTGGCATAAGTAAGTAAGTAGTTTGGGGCTACAACTATAGTATCCTTTTACAAATATATTTTATTTAAATTACATACACATAAAGGCTACTACATTTATTTGGCTTTTCTCGTTGATTCTGCTTCTGGCTGCAGTAAAATTAAATTTTACATAATCTTGTGTGGGCTCTTGTGTAAGAGGCATTATTTAAATGCGTATCAAATTGGTTCTTAGTAGTTAATAAAAACGTATATTTAATTTACTTCCAGGCGCGCACACACACACACATTCGAAGAGATACGGAGCACAACAATAAAATTTTATATTTATCGCCAACGATTTCCGGCCGAAGTCCTTTTTGTGTGTGTCTGCGTGCGCCTGTTTTGTGCTGCCTACTTTTTGGGGGCCTGGCTTTCCCTAAGTTTTCCGCGTTGTCTGGCTTGTGCGCATATTTTAATAAATTTTATGCCGCTGAAATGTGCCCCGCTTATCATTAACGCACAATTTATTTTTGCTTTTATTCTTTTTTTCCTTTCATCCAAGAGGCCCCCAATTGCTGTTGTTTATCTGTGAGATACATTTGCTTTTTTGGCTTTTTGATTATTCGCGTCTTAAGATTACTTGGTTTCCTCTTTTACGATTAAGTTTTTCTACTCAAACTTGCTTATATACAGAATTATCTATTTACATGTTGGCATAATGTGCATTTAATTTGCAAACGAAACGTTCCTGGTGAAAAGCTTTAGACCAACTTTTGCCCCGGCGGCTTTTAAATGTTGTTTATTGTTGCTCCTCTTCTGTTGATTTTGGCCCGCATGTAGTTTCCATTTAACTTTCCACTTACATGTTGTGCGTGTGTATTCTTTTCTAGAGCCAAGCCTGCTGCTGTTCGTAGAGTTGTTGCTGCTGGGAGAGTTGTTGTTGCTGTTGTTGCTGCTGGGATGCCTGCTGTTTCTGCTGCTGCTGTTGCTGTTGCTGCTGTTGCTGCAACCAAAGTTTGCAGAATGCAGTGGGCGGCGGATTGGAGGCACAATTCACTCCCACTGCAGGGGCATGGTCGGTGGGCTTTGGCTATTGCAAATTAAATTTAGCTAATTCTCACAACTCTGTGCTCATTTCGCTTACAATTGCGCTCTGCCGTTTGCATTGTAGTTTTGTAGTAGTTGCAGTGGCATGGCATGAAAATAAAAGTAGTAAAAACAGAGGGAGAGAAAATATTTGCATATGTTAGGAAAAGTTTTCTGTTGATTCGATTTTCTCATTTAAGTTTTCTAGTGCCCGGTAATGTGAGTGTAAGTTTAGGTGTATGGTGTGTGGTGTATGGTGGTGAGTATAGCTTGTTAGTTTGTTCTAGCGACTACAGTGCGTATGCGTTATGGTGCTCTTCATTTTGAAATAAATTTACAAAAAACATAGTTCAAGTGCCGCCACGCAGTTTATGGCCGTAGTAAATCCAGTTTTATCGCCGCGACTGCCACAAATTGAATACTTTTTATCATTTCTGTTGGCGCCGCACCACAAATAATTACTTAATTTAATCATAAACCAAAAAGAAATCCTGGAAAAAAGTCACTCCACACATTTAATGTGGAATAGGGTGAGTTTTTATATAGCCATTCATAAGCTTATCTCTCCGCCCTCGGGTAAAAATGTGCGTCAAATTTACGATTGCCACTCGGGCACTTTCCACATTTTCAGCACTTTTCCTTGCTCCTCCGTTTTCATTTTCGTTTTCTATTTTGTTTCTGTGACAAAAATGCGTAAAGTTTTCCCCAAGTCCCTTTGTTGTTGGTGGCGTGTGGCCTAGCTACAAGTCGCGAAAGGCTCCAAATGGCCGAATTCCAGAGGCCAAGGGGTTGGTCGGGGTTGAGGGGTCTAATCTAAAACAAGAACTGTCGTTGTACCAAGGTCGAACACGCAGACCCTTTGTTCAAACACCCTTTCAAAGTCAGGGCTTGTATCCCACAAGGATAAAACGAAAATTGAGAAGAAAAAAGTTAAAGTGCCTAAATATCTTACGTTATAAAGACCATGTAAAATATAAAGTTCTATTTTCAAGGATAACTTTTAGCTTTGACAGAAAAGATAAATGTATTATTTGAACAATATTTAGTTTTTATACGTAAAGAAGAACAAATTTTGAAATTGGTTTTTAAAAAACTATTAACTATCACCACAAATTGTAAAAATCTTTAATTTTTTTGTGTAAACAACATAACATATATGTTTGCGGTATTTAGCTGTTTTCTTGAAAATACTGATTTATTTCAAAAAATTCTTATATTTTTTCAATTTAACTTCCGGCGAAAATCTTCATAAATACTAGATGACCTCAAATATTTATCTTTATCAAATGGAGAGCAACCAGAGGTCAACAAAACACCACAGGCTAACCATTTTCCCTTTCAACTGTTTGTTATGCCTTTTTATACCCTTGCAGAGGGTATTATAATTTTGGTCAAAAGTGTGCAACGCAGTGAAGGAGACATCTCCGACCATATAAAGTATATATATTCTTGATCAGGATCACCTCCTGAGTTGATATAGCCATGTCCGTCTGTCCGTCTGTCCGTCTGTCTGTCCGTCTGTCTGTTTCTACGCGAACTAGTCTCTCAGTTTTAAAGATATCGAATTGAAACTTTGCACACACCCTTCTTTCCTTTGCACGCAGTATATAAGTCGGAACGGCCGGGATCGGCCGACTATATCCTATAGCTGCCATATAACTGAACGATCGGAAATGCCATAACTTTGGTGTTTTTAAAGTTAGGAAGTTGGGATTTTCTATGGGTTTTGTATTTGGCCAATCAATTTGACGTACCAAATTTTAT